CACGTACTACAATACATTATTCTTTATTTTTTTGTTCTCTTCCACTGAGTTTTTTTGTTGGTCGCAACGATCGCTATCAACACTTCAAACATTTAACCAGACAAAACAAAAACAAAACACAAACAAATTAATATTGCATATATATACTAACCTTACTTATCTCTCCCCTTCTCTTTCACGCTGCATTTTCAATTTGCAACAAAAAACTAAAAAAAAAAATTTTAATTCACCCAAACTAACCATCAGACCAATCACTAACCACAACCACTAATGCGGCCACTAACACCATTACCGCGGCTACGGCACTAAGCAATGTCGATATGAACGCACATAACCTAGCAATCCCAACGCCGGCAATTGTATCGTCCTCAATGGCGACAACAACAGTAACATCGGTAAATGCTACGCCCAACAAGCAGCCGACATTGATGCGCATCGGCAGCATTGGACGCACCACAATAACCTGTGTGGCACCGGCGGGCACTGGTGATGATGGCGTAATGAATTTGTTGAATAACGGTAATATGGGTGTGATATCGGCGGCAGCTTTGGCAGCTTCGGGTGTAGAACTCGAATCGGTGGACGAGAGCATGACCGAGGTGCTAGTGAAAATCGAGAATTCGTCGTCCTCAACACAAGAGGAAGATGAAGAGATGGAGGCGGAGGCGGAGGCGGAGGGCGAAGATGAGGGCGAAGTTGAAGGTGAAGGCGAACTCGCCGAGGATGATGATGAACAACAAGCGGGTGATAATGGCAAAGAGTCCGATTTCAATTACGAATTAAAGTTGTCCAGTCCCATGTCATGGGCTTTTGACACAGTGAAAATCGAGAATGAGGAAGAATTCGAAGATATACTCTCCGGCGAGCAGGACACCACTAATACCGAGGATGAGGATGATCTGTTGACAACAGCAGCGGCAACAACCAAGCAAGCTGCCGCCGGATCAAGCGAACACAATACACATGTCAATACAAATGTTGCGACACACACCGAGTGCGCCGAGTTGCCAGCAAGGACACACGAAGCAGCAACAAACCGCGCCGAAAGTGTATCGCATAAGGGCGGCCAACAACGTGGCGCTGGAAAGCGGCACACAATGTTGGAGCGCAAAGAGACGACAACATTGCTGAGCAAGCAACAGCAACAATTGCTTTTGGAACAACAGCAACACTTGCAACATCTGCAATTGCGACCAACTCAACAGATGCTGCAATTCAAGCTCGCCTCCATACCAGCAACCATCACCTCAATAACAACAACAACAACGACAGCGGCAACGGCTAACAAACACAACAGCAATGGTGTTAAAGACACCGCAAGCACTGGCGTTGGTGGTGGTGTTGCTGGTGATGGTGTTGGTGGCATTATTGTTGGCACGCCTACCGCTGCCAACAGCGAACCGCATCCGAAACTGCTTACGTCTACAGGCAATAGTGGTAAGAGTAGCGCCAATGCCGGCGATTTCAAATCGTCCGTTTCCGACGATAAACGCTACCGCATTCTCGTGCAGAATCAGCGCATGCGCAAGGAGTCGCTCGAACACTCGGAGGATATGATCTATAATGCGGACATTGAGAAGCCATGGGTGTGCCGCAATTGCAATCGCAACTACAAGTGGAAGAATAGTCTTAAGTGTCATTTGAAGAACGAGTGCGGCCAACCGCCACGCTACTTTTGCAGCAAACTTTGCGGCTATGCCACGAATGTGCACAGCAATTTGAAGCGTCACTTGAATACAAAGTGTCGCGATCGCATGGAGGAGGATCAGAAAAACAACACTAGCACTTACACGCTCGTATTCCAGCAAAACGAATAAACAGCCGACCGACGCACACACACATGAACAGATGTTGAGATTATAGTGTAGGCGCTCGGCAACACTTTGCATGCGCTCGTGTTTATTAGCACCTTTTCAACGTTTACATATTTAGCATATTTATTTATGTACTTATGAATTAAACGCTTTTAATTTATATTTATTTGTAAAAATGTAGCATTCCTTAAATTCGAATTTAAGTTCGAATTTAGTTAAAAACCCGAATCAACGCTAGTCAAAGTGAACGGAACATATAAAATATGTTTGTATAAACGTTCATAGTACATATATGTACATATAGATTATATATATATTTATTGTCGTTCTTATATATTTATGTATTTTAGTGCGTAAATTTTCATTAAAAAATATTTTTTAATATCAAAAATTTTTTTTTAATACTTTTTTTTTTTTGTTAATTTGTTTATTTAGTAGTAATTTTAGAGAGAAATTCATGAGAAATTATTTCTCTTGCTCTTATAAATGCATATACATACATAAATTCAATTGTGTATATACGTATGCGCAAAAGTCATTAATGAAACCTTTTCTAGTCAAATGATGATTAAAAGTCTTATAGAAAATTTAATTACACATAGATATTTATTCTAGCATATGTACGTACGTATTTAACATTGCAATTCATATCCGTATACATATGTTGCTGTCATTTTAGTTTAATAATAATTTAATTGTTTATTGACGCAAAAAATATAAATATTAATATAAAAAATAAAATATTTTCGGAAACTTATGTATTAATATTATTTTACTAATTGTAAAGGTCAGGTAAATGTAAAATAGCATTACTTTAATGCAACATACATACATAACTCCATGTTAATGTGTGTTTATTCTAATCTTATGTGTAATAATGCTTATGGCAAATACGTTTAAATAAGCTTTTTCGAATTGAAAACTGGTCAAGTTGCAATAATATTGTAAAAAAATGAAAAATTTGTAAATGCAATAAATTAGAAACAAAGCAAAAACACAACAACACACAAACATACACACATATAGCCGCCGTACTAATGTGAAATTAATTTGTATTTTCACAATTCAAAGCCATTGAAGTCACTTAAAATATTTATTTATAGTTTTAACTTTAAAATGCTTACACAAAAAATGAGAGTATAAATAATTTAAACTTAAAAAAAACTGTACACCCGAGCATAAAATTACTAATAAAACACATTTAAACCAATTTAAGGCGGAATGTAAACGAATTGTGCAATTTTATTGAGTGTTTTCATTGCAGCGGCGATAACGGAATGGAGGCGAACTTCATGTTATGAATAACTGGTGTTGAATATTGGCAGAAAAAAAAATGTATAAATGAAATAAAATAATAATAATAAATAAATCATATTTACAAAAAGAAAAATAATAATAATAAAATTTTTTTAACTGTTAAATGTTTTAAATAATCTTTAAAATATTTTAAGAATTTTTTTTAAATAAAATTTCTTCGTTTACAGCTTACTTCAAAATAAAAATAATAATAATAAAATAATATAAAGATTTTTTTTTAATACAAATATTAATGAAATTTTATAACAGTTTTAAAATATTTTAATCAAAAATAACAATTTACTTTTTTTTCTTAATATTTATATAATCTTTATTACTTTTTTGTTTTTTTTAATGTCTTTCATTTCAGCCCATCGCACATCCTCATTGCTAACATTTTTACAAGCATAACTGTTTATGAACGCATACAACCTACACATTAAAACATATATTTTAGTCAATATAGAACCCTCACTAACCAGTTTTCTCTTCTAGGTTTCTACTGGCGGCCGGCGGTTAGTGGAGTCCACACAACGCCCAAACAAAACAACGTTTGCTAAGAAACGTTTAAACAACTTTACATTTTATTAAATATTTATAATTTAATAAATATCAACAAAGACAACAACTATACAATCAATAATTTAGGTGATGTTATGTTAAAAAAAACTTGGATGACAACTAAAGCAAGCAGCGTGCAGCCAAACTTCGTATAAAATTATTTGACATGCATATTAACATATTATTATTTATATACTATATATGTATACATATATATATATATATATATAATATATATATATATAAATATTGAGATTGCGATATTCAATTTTTTTTAAATTTAATATGCGAAAAAATATTAAGTTGTAAATTTTCTAAATTTTATATACATATGTATTTTTATATACTTTGCATAGTGTTAAATATATATATGTATATACATTATACAGCTATGTGTATATACATATATTTTTATATATTTATATTTTTAGCATTATTCTTTTATATTTGCTACTTTAGACAGTTTTGCTTGTGACTTGCGTTCACATACGTTTACTATAAAATTGTATGGTTTTTTAAAATGTAACATATAATAAATTGAAATTAATTAGTTTAAACATACCCGAATTATAATGTACTTTTAAATGCATGCGTAAACGTATATTTTTTATACAATACTTTTTTTTATATAAAGAGTGATATTTTTTATATAAAGAATATTTTTTTATATAAAGAATATTTTTTTATATAAAGAATATTTTTTTATATAAAGAAAAATTTGTTTATATAAATAATACCTTTTTTACATAAAGAAGGAAAAACCAAAACTTTTTTGTGAATGAACTTGAGTTAACCACTTTTTAGCAACACTGTACTCATGCATATGCAACTCTTACGCACAAATATACATACATATATATTATATTAGAAATGTATATGTATGTGTGCAGTGTTAGCGTGTAAATGTAGTATTATACTACCAAGTGTTATTTAAAATATTTTGTTTTATAAATAAGTTAAGGCACAGCCTTGCCATATCGTAAGGTGTTAGACAAATGGTAATCTAGCTGGTACACATACATGTTTGTATGTATGTGCAGGCGTTAGGACATAGTTTTTAGTTACCAATAAATAGTTGTGCAAATTTCCATAAACTATAATAATATAATATAAAGTAGCAATAATATAACTTTAATTGCCATTTGTTTGGGAAATTTGTGCTACACACATATTTTAAACTAATAAATACACACATTATATAAGCAATCATATAAACAAAGCAAAGCATACATATAAAAACGTATGCAAGTAACTGTTATATTAATATTAACAATGGTTATCGTTATTTGCAGCAAATTGTAACTAACTTTCTTACATTAAACTTGCAACATGCAGCGTGCGAGTTAGCAAATGCTTTACTGTTGTGTGGCAGCTCCTTTTTATGCAAATTATGTATAAAAGTTTATAGAAACTAAAAATAAATATTATTAATATAAATTAAGTATATAATATTACATACTAATTAAAAATAATATTAGTAACAATAACAAATAGTTTCAATACAAAAAAAATTATAAATTCTTATCAAAATAAAAAATATGCTAATAAAAGTCTATTTTACTATATGCAACATAGTAGCAACGAGAGTAGAAAAAAAAATATAAATGGTTAAACAAAAATTACAAATTTTTAAATTTATAAAAATATATATAAATTATAAAATCCAAAAATTTATTATAATCAAAGCTAAATTAATTAGTTAAACATATTTTGATAAAAAATATAAATTAATTAAAAATAAAATAAATCATTTAAACTTATCATTTTGTGTGTGCGCAAAATTTCCAAATTCAGTTATAAATCGCAATTTAAAACTTTTTTCTACATTATACATAAAAATATACACACCTAAATACATATTTTATTAAAAATCAATTTTACTCTTGGCAACATGTTGCTAGAGTATAAAAATTTATCAATTATTAAACAAAAATTATAAATATATAAATAATTAACAAAATAAATATGTATATAAATTAAAAAAAATCACAAATTAATTAGGTTAAAAAATAATAAAATATAAATATAATAATAAAAAAAAAAATTTTAAAAAAATCTAAAAAAATCTAAAAAATTAATTATTAATTAGTAAAACAATATTTCTATAAAAAATATATAAATTATTAAAAAATAAAATTAAAAAATGTAACCTATCTATAGTAGTCAAAAAAAATATAAACGAAAATACAAATTTAAAATTTAGTTACATAATATACATATAATTAAATTTACCCAGGCAATATGGAAATTGGTGCAACGCTCAAGAAATTATATATTTTTTATTATAAAACGCATAGTTTTCTCCTAAATTCAGCCTTAATTTCGCACAATTCACATAAGCAAACACACTAATACACACGTACATGCGGACGCACTCATACAAAATGAAAAAAATAATTTAAAAAATCACACCAACCGATTTGGAAACATTTTCAAGTAACAAAGCAAGTAGCAAAATTCAAAAGCAGCCCATCATCATCTTGCCTAAGCGTGTATGCATATCATCAACACCTTGTCAACACCACTACCACCAAAACCACCACCACCACATTCGTCACCTATGTATGTATGTATGTTTGTATTTACTCATATTATGCCTGTCAGTGATTTGAAAACAAAAAACAAAAAAAAAATATTTTAAAAATTCGAAATATGCGCAGTGTATGCAAAAACAAAAACAAAATCGCGAATGGTAATTTATTTTAGTTCTTAATTTTTTTTGTTTTTATTTCTCTTTTTAAACTGTTTTAACATTTGCGAAATGCAGTATTTAACATATATTTCTATATATATAACACATTGGTGTTTTAAATAACGTTATATACATATATATATGTATATATATTATTTGTAAGATTCCTTTCAACTGAATTCAAGCATACGATGAAATTTTTTACCCAAAATGACTGCTATTTCCTTTCGAGACTAAACTATTTAAAAATATATTTTAAAAATTTTTAATTTTTTTCCACTAAATAGCATAAATGTAATTAAATTTTTCTCTTTTTATTACCTCTCTTTTTCAATGGTGTCTCCGTTGCATGCTACACGCTGTTCGCTCTTCAACAACCAATAAATTGGCGCGGTCCACCAGATAAAGTCAACGTCGCGAACGTATTCACTGCCGCCGGCACACATCTGCGGCCCAACTTGCGCGTGAAAGCCAGTCCGCCCAGCAGTCGTGTCTGTACGCCGGTCATAAAGTACGAACCGACGTCCACAGCCGATGACAATGAGCGTGAGGGCGATTTGGCCGGTGTGCCTAGCCTTGGTATGGTCACGCAAAGCGGTGCGATTACAGTTGGTATCACTGGTGATGGCAGCGCCGCGTTGCCCGGTGATTGTACCGACGATGAGCAACCATGTGATCTGCGCTTAAGCGCTTTTCCGATGAATCTGGTGTCGATGGCGATACAACGGGCTGCACTACAGTCCATAGCGGCCGCACCGTCAACCCACCTCACGTCCCTGATGAACTTTCCGCATTCGCACGTCGGCACACATGCACAATTGACGACGCAAACAACAGCACAATCACGTGCACTATCACCAACACGCCGTTATAGCATCAGCACCAGTACCGCTACGGGTAATAATGTAACTGGTGTTGGTGCGGGCGTAGTGCCTTCAAATAGAGACACAACCCCACCGCTTACGGGTAGTGGTGTTGGTGTTGTTGTTGGCGGCAACATGAACACTGTGCCGTTAACTACTGGTACGAGTGCGCCTAGCATCACCTCAGGCGGTCCATCTACCTCGGCAGCGGCGGCGGCAGCAGCAGCGGCCGGCAACACCACCCTCATAATAGGCAGCAGTTGTGGCGATGAGGCCGCCATCGGCGCCGGTGTGTTGAGCAATAGCAGCAGTGCTGCTGGCAGTAGTCACATGACGGCCATTACATCCGGTACCGGTGGTGGTGGCACCTTCGGTGGCGCCTACACATGCGAACGTTGTGGGAATTCGTATGCACGACCGCATAGCCTAAATCGGCATATGCGTTTCGAGTGCGGCGTCGAGCCGAAATTCGAATGTCCGATTTGTCACAAGAAGTCAAAGCATAAACATAATCTCGTCCTGCATATGCGCACGCATCAACATCGATGATATAATCAGCCGTCACATTATACGCAATGACCACCGATACTTCGCCAACGCATACTACTACTACATACTGGGGAATTTAGCAAAAAGAAGCAACAACAACAACGACAATTAGCGCAACAGCAGCAACAACAACAACAACAATCTGCAGTATGGATTCATCACAAATGCAAACAATATCTTTATATGTTGCTATAAGCAGCGCGCGTGCGCATGCGCACAACCACCTACTTCGCCCCATTGAGCTCGACGCTTTCCTTTGCTATTCGCATATAAATCTGCCTACAAAACATATGAAACGCGTATAGCGCAGAGCACATTCCAATGCATAAGTATGAAATTGTTGAAATCGTTTTAATTTTAGCGAAGTACGCACGCCGTTACAGTGGTAAATACATAAATAAATAGTGATCAATTAAGTTAAAAGTGTGATAGGTTGAGTTAGGTTGCGTTAAAGATGTTGATGACAACAACAACAAAAAAAACACTAAAACACACATACACCAAACACCTTTACACTCACACACACACAGAGAGACACGCATGCAGGTATGTAGGAGTGCAATTTGATAAAGGGAGTTCTCCAAGCAAGCAACACACACATTAACTAATTAGCACGAATGTGATTTAATTCTTTTAAACATAAAGAAGTCTTATAATTTTCCAAATGATCTTGAGAACTTAGTCGTTTTTTTATTTACATTCATTTATTTTTACAATTTTAACTATAGCTTAAAAGTATACTTTTATACGAACATATAAATATATTATAAAACAAATATTCTCTACAACGTTATGTAGACATGCACACATACATACATACTTCTGAAAGTAAAAAACAAAAAAAAATATTAGATAAAGCCTGTATGTCTGTATGTATGTGAAGAGAGAGAATATTAAACCATTATTGTAAATGTAATTGTATTTGTAGTTGTACAAAAACAAAAACAAAAAAAAACTATGCAAACAGTCAATATAACATATGTGAATACTTGTTGCATATACATAAATATTTTGGCTGTTACCGTTATGGCCGCCACATTACAGCACATGTAAGCATGTAAGTGGTAGCCAAATTGGAAGAGGAGGAGACACAAGAAGTGATATTTGAAGCACAAAGTGATATGGACAGTGGTATATGGAGTACATAGTTATGTAGAACGAATGAGTTGCGATGGTATTAGGGGACTTTGTTAAAAAATAATAAAAAATAACAAAAAGTAAAAAGTAAAAATAAAAAAAATAAAAGCGAAAAAAAGCTTGAACTTGAGGAGCATTTGTATGTTGATAGGAGAGAAGCAAAAATAAAACCGAAGGAGAGGAAGAAAGTAAGAAAGAAAAGTGAAAAGAAATAATAAAAACAAAGAAAAAGTAAGAAAGAAAGGAAGCAAGCGAAAAGAGAGTGTAGCGCGCGCAAGAGAGTAAGAGCGAAAGTGTAGCGAAAATCAGTAAACATACAAAAGTAATAGTAAATAATTATAAATGATCTCAGTTATTTAAAATTACAAAAAAGTAAATGAAAATGTAACAAAAAAAATTAAGAAAACTAAGACGCATTTCAAAAAAAAAAAAACAAAACGAGGTAACGACATTCACATTGTTGCATATTTATACAAAAAATTTTGTACTAATATTTTGAGAAAAATAAAACATTATGATAAATTAGTGAGCGTACATACATACACACAACAAATAAAAGTTCAAGCAAAAGTTTACAATTTTACGTTTCTAAAGTAGTTAAAGTGATTTGCTGTCGTAAATTATGCAGTCAAAATATAACGGTAATTTTGTTTACAGTTTTTACTTGTTTGTTTGCACAATCATAAACACGTGATAATCGTATATCAACGAGAGAGACTGCAACTTTTAACATTTTTCGAATTGTCCAATACAATGAAATGGTTTTTTGTGGTTAGAAATGCGTAAACAGGCATGTAACGGTAAATGTATGTATGTATATAGTGGTAGATTTGTTAAAGTAATGTCTTTTGCTATATAATATGCATATACATATGTATATATATGAGCTTTTCTATGCATATGGCGAATGCTTGTTGTTGTGTGTTTTATTAGTGTAAAATATGCACAGTTATGCTTTTAAGTGCAGTGCAAAATAAAGCAACACTTTTCTGTCGTTTTTAAGTACGCAAAATGCGTTTTTGAAAATCGCGCACAATACAGCAAGCGCAAAAAGTGCAATAAAAATGCATTAAATTGTTACTATCATATACACACACATATTTATACTGAAATGTCTGTATAAGCTTAATTAAATTGTCAAGCGAGTCAGCATGCCGGCAAAACAGTTCTTTTCCCCCCATTTTTGTGGTTTTGTAGCGTAGGTTTCAATACATACATATATATATATAGTACATATGTACTTGTATATAAATATATGCGCTGATGTGTAGTCAACTATGTGCAATAAGTTAGTTAAACGATTTTATTTATATAAGTGTATACATATGTATATGTATTTGCAATTATTAGTCATTTGTGTAAAAGTTTTGAAATTATGGAGTACACGAAAATGCACATTAAATGAAGAGTTACGATAATTGTGATCTGCGTTTGAAAAACGGCTAAATAATTATTTAAAATAACAATTATATATAAATATATATATATATATATATACGTATATATATCTATTATATGAGTATGTCTAATACATAGAGCTCTAAACTTTAGTGATACACTTATGAAAAACAAAAACAAAATGAAAAATGTGAAAATACAGTTCTTAGATAACAATGTTTAACAATGAATTCGAAAAATTGATAATTCTTATGTGATATTTATTAACATAAAACACTCAAAAAATTGAGATGAGCTTGTCTGGCAACACCAACACGTCATTTGTGTAATGGTTTAACGGCATATAACGGTAGTACTTGTAAAAGTATTAAATAACCGTTACAGTCGACCGGGAGAGCCGAGCGTCTTTCTAAGCTCCCCAAAATGTCGACCATTTGCAATTGACTTTCAAAATTTTTGTCTCAATTTCTAAATGTATATAATGAAGAAGAAGAAAATGATATGAAGATAAGCAAAAACTAGTCATTAGTGCTGAGCGTTGAGTGAGGAGTTAGTGTCGCTTGAAAAGTAAGGATTTGTGCATAGGCGTTTTTCTGTAATAAAGTTTATAAATTTTTTTTTCTTAATTATAAGTCGTTAGGTACGTAAAGCGGTACATTAGTTGCACTTGCATAAAATTCACTCTCATTCACTGACAATTTTTTTTTAACTTTTTCCAAAAAGAAAACTGATGCTCATGAACGGTACCATCAGCGGTTTAGGGCTAAAAATTTGATTTGTGCAAAAAATATTTTATGTTTAGTGTTTTGAAACGTAAAATGCAACTGTGTGGATCTTTGAAAAAAAAAATCAAGTAGGATCTCTAATGTGTAAATCTATAAAAATAGTTATTGTCACGTCGTTTGGTAGCATTCCTTAAAAGTATACAGTTTATATACATATATTTTGTGATTCACTAAAAGCACAAAATGTCCCGAAAGTGCAAATAACAGTAAAACAATTTTATGAGTCACCGTAAAAATTATGCAAATGGAAAATTGAAAAGAAACTTAGTAAATTATTTGTTATATATTACAAAATTTCACATATGTACATATAATATATTGTGCTTGAAATGAAGAAAGGAATTTTTTCGAAAAATATGAGTTGTGTACTTAAAGCACCTACTAGTTGGCGGGCATTGATCAAGAAGTGTTTGTAGTTTCTTTCAGTTGTCGAAGGAGTATTTACATACATGCATACATATATACTCGTAAATGTTTACGGGCGCCAAAAAAAGAATACACTATAAACTTAAAAAATATGCTAGAATACCGTTTAGTATTTGCAAGTTTTTGAAACACATGCATAAATCAGTAATAATTAAAAACAAAATATATAATATTAATGTAAAAAATTTGTATCAAGTATTTGGAAAATATTCAGTTTTAACATATTTAATTAATTCATTCAGATACTCGAAATATTCAGCTAAACGCGTTTAAAATTTCAATTAATATTTGACAAAAATTTTTCAAAATGTTACTTTTGATCAAACTTTGCAATTTTTTAAGTTATAAAAATATTATTAAAATTTGAAATTTTTCACCAAAATTTTGAAAACATTGTTTTTTGAACGCCAAGTTTTTTATTGTGAAAATTTATGTTGCTTTCAAAAAAGTTAAATTCGAGTTTCAAAATTTTTTGTAAACACTTTATAGTTTTTGAGGTTTTAAATAAATTATAAGACATTATTGATATTTTGTTTTTGTTAAATGTAAATAAAATATATTTTGTCTCAGAAACTTATTATTATTATTTATTATTTTTTTTGTTAAATTTTGTATTTTTTTCGCTCAAATAATTAATTTTTTTATTTAAATAAATATATGTATAACGGCTTAAACAATTACGTTTCTACATATTTTGTCTCAAAAACGTTTGATCTTTTTATTATTATTATATAGTTTTTCATTTATCTATTGTTAGTATCGAAAAGATTAAATTTTAACATCCTTGGCGTCAACTAATTTATTTCATTACTTCGAGCAATATTCGTTTCTTACTGGATCAAACTTTCACATAATTTTTTTTACCAAAACAAACTAAGAAAATCAAGTTTTCATATTTACGCCAAGACTTGAAAAAAAATTAATTATATATGTTTATAAAACAAAAAGGAAACTGTTTAAAAATTGGCGAAAGCATCGAACGAGTTGCAACTGTCTATATGTATGTATGTGTGTAGGTTTTTGTTTAATAAAAGGAATATCTATATGTATGTATGTAATTGTGCGTTATGCAATCGTATTGGTATGTGATATAAAAATAACAAAAATATATTACTTAAACTTTTTTCTCTTCAATACAAACATAACAAATCCATTTGAATGATAATTTATTGTGTTGACTAGTGACTGATGTACCTCTCGTTCCACTTGTCCTTTTTATTTTCATTAATGAGCTCACAAAGCAAAACGCAAACAAGCAACAACAAAAAGTCATATGGAATTTAGCAGTATATACGTATTTGAGCACACACACGCGCAGACACATAAATATATGCTAAAGTTTATGCAAAACAATTGTGATAATATGCGAATAACTAAATTTTGTAGCTTTCCTTCGGCCGTGGGACTAATGAAATTTTAACGTAGTAACAAAATTACCTGTTTGGAAAAAAAGTTCAAGAAAAAAGTATAAATTAAAAAAACGTATATGAGAAGAGTGCATATTTACTCAAATTTTACGAGAGTTACTTAACGCATAATCGAGTAAAAGTGAAAATGTGAAAATTAGAAACAAAAAACTATAATTTGGTCAGTATTTCAGATAAGATGTTAATTTGTAAATTTTTTTTGTAATTTTTTTTGTGTGTTTTTGGTTAATTTTATGTTATTGTATGAGAACTGTTGTTAAAGGCAATTGAAGGTAGCACCTACATTTATATATATTTAAAAAAAAAATTATATATTTAAAAAAAAAATATATACTAAAAAAAATTTGCTTGATCAATTATAAACTTTTGTTATAATAAATAGTTTTGATAAATAACTAGTCAAATATATAAATAAATAATACATTGTTAGTAACAACTCATCTCATGCTGCATTTTCCACACCCCCTCCACTTAACCCTTCACTATATACTATAACACATTATATATTAATTATTAGTTTTTTTTTATAATTAAAATGTAAATTTAAATTTAATTTTCAAACATTTAATTTAACGCTAAATAATTAACTTAAGTTCTTAAGCAAATGTTGCTCTTTAAGGTTGTGGTCTTTTCGTTTGTTTTATTTAAAATTTTTTATTTAATTTAATCTTTTTAATTTTTGTTATTAATAATAATTATTTTAAGCGTGTTTTACTTGCTTATTGTGTAAAAAATACAATATATATATATAATATATAAAAATACATATTTAAGTTGTGTCCTTTGCAGCGTTTCTTACTTTGCTGACCTTTTGTCAGTTAAATTACTAATAGTTTTGTTGTAAAAAAATGTTTAAATTAACATTGTGCAATCTTTTTTTTTAATAATTAATAAATATAAATAAATATATTTAGATACATACATACATATAACGAGCATCACATAGAGCTGTTGAAATTTTTCTTTTATTTATGTGAATTATTATTATGCCTATGTAAAAAAAAACAACAACAAAAATTGTAGTCAAACCGTTATAACAGCATATTAATTAAGTGCAAACTGTGCAATAACGCGAATATCTATGTGATAACCTAAAACTATTTGTATATTTCTGCAAAACAACAAATACTAAAGTCCAAGTTATAACATAACCACTATTGATATGTAAGCGTATATATACTAAATACATGCAAACATGTACGTTAGTTAGTCGAAACTTTTTAAATGATTTTCTTTTTTTTATAGCAAGTGCTGTTAAAGTTTATTATAGCAAAGCAAAAAAAAATATCGAACAGCACAAATTTAACAAACTAATATTGAAAAACGCATATGTACACCGTTATCTATGCATATGTAGGTATATGTATGCTTTTGTATGCAAACACGCGCCAGCTAAAGTAATTTCAAGCAAAACTACTAAATTTTGACGATTTATTTAACCATAATAATAGATAAATGCAAATATATTTTCAAATATACACACACATACAATATTATATAATATTATATATAGAAGAAGTAATAATTGTAGCAAATATTTAGTTGGCAGTCAAAATTTCGATGATTAGCAAAAATAAAATTGACAACACAAAATCTGAATGAAAAACGAGCTAAAAAAAATTATAAAAATAAAAACGAACGGCTGCATCAGGTAAATAAACCGTAAATAAACAGTATATTATAAGAAAAAAGTTATGTTATATTTTATATTTTATAAATAACACATTCACTGTATGTCGATATGTAAGCAGCGCGGAACACATGCATAAACGCATATACATGCATACATATAGATATATATTTATATGTATGTATGCATGTTTGTGTATGCGCCTGCGTTTACTTTAAAAGTAACAACTTTTTGTTTTGCAATAACATACAATATTTAACCAAATGAGCTGTGAATATAACATAGTGAAATAAGCAAACGAATTAAACAAAAACAAAAAAAAAAAAAATCTAAGCATTAAATTAAAAAAAAAACTTATGTGATTACACGTTTGTGATTGTAATGGAAACTAGAAATTTCACATAAATTTAAATTTAAATAATTATAAAAATATGTATGTATGTATATGTAATTAGTGATGTACGAAAACATACAAGAACATACATATATAAATGTGTATGTAGGTGTGAAGAGTTACATATGTATGTATATACTAACGTTCGGCTAATGCAATTGAATAGCGTATTTTTTTTACAAGTACTATGTAAATTTTGGTGATTCTTAAATACACTAATGTGCAAAATAATTGCAATAACTTTGTGTGTGTGGTCTTCGTTAAGTGAAATTGTCAAAATTTTGAAGCGCTGCACTACTTCTGCTACTAACAAGCAACGTTTTCTTGCTACACGCAAACATACACACACACACATACATATTTACAGAAGTTAATTAACATAAAACAGTAATAAATAGTTAAAGTAACAGTCGCTTATTTACATATATACATAATTATGTATGCATTTGTGTAATTGTTAGTTTGACACACAGGCAACATTTATTAAGTTTGTTAAGTCTTTAATTGCATAATGTACTAGGTATGTAATGTATGGCGCATAGATCAATAATAATAAAATTAAATAAAAATTATAATAAAAGTAAAAAACGAAAACTTTTTGCATAGTTGTAATGCCCCACCCTTGTGAAGAAATGCCTTTTGAAAACTGTGAAATTGCGATGTGCAAGAATTTACACACAAAAAAACAAACAAAATTTCATTAAAAAAAACAATAACAACAAATGTTGCACATAAACGAATTGTTAACTGTCTTAAGTAGCTGTTGTTGTTAATTAAATGCATTATGCAAAGCCGAAAATAAAGAACTAAATGAAAAAAGTATAATAATTAACTGTCTATTTGGTGCAAAAACAGCAAACAACAACAAATTTTACACTTGTACGAATAACTTAGATAAATGATAAATGTGTGAAAAAGCAGTAAACACAAACACAACAAATAAACCGTTCCAAAGTTGCTTGCACTAAAGAAGTACCGATAAATTGAAATTAAATAAAAAAATATATATAAAAAAAAATTTTAAATGTGAAAATTTCGAAAAATACAAACGACAGCGTGTAAAACACAAAACTACATTAATACAATTATTGAAATATATAAGAATAAAATTTATATTCTATTGTTAGTAGCCGCTGAAACGAAAGTAACTATCTAAAGAGTATGCCTACTTAAAACAACAACAACAACAAAAAACGAATAAATATAAAAAAATGCAAAAATGTTTAATGAGTTTTATTTTGAACCAATTTTTAACAGAAAACAGCAAAATCACGAAACAAAACTAAAAAAGAGTTGGAAAGTAAACACACATATGCATATATATATATATATAATATATATAAGTACATATACATTTGTGTTAAAAAAAACAAAAAAAAACATATGTATATAAATATAAAAGAAAACTAATGAATTTTGCTCTCTTTTGCAGCCAGCCTCTATGCAAACACACATTAAAATATTTTGAAAATTTCTAAAACTTTAACTAATTGTTGTTTCTTTTCTTTTAGGTGCTTGGCTCACAATTACGAAGCGTTCTCCATGCAAAGCGGTGGCGTAGTGGCGCTAAGAGCACACAACTTGTCTTACTATATATGCATATATACATGTTTAGCTTTGTATGTGCATAATGTGTAAATGTGTGTATTGGCCGATTGAAAAAAGCAAAAAGCAATAAGCAAACACAAAAGGCAAGCGAAGCAAGCAATTGTTGTTATTAACTAGTTTTGTTGCCTGAAAAAGCCTTTAGCATACTAATGAAATATACATACATAGACTTACTTACTTTACTTATGAATTGTTATAATTAATGCTAATAAATTATTGACTTGAAAGAACAAATTAACCAAATATCCATTTATATTCAAATGAACACAGTGATATAATGCAAAAAAATGAAAAATAAATATAATATTAAAAATAAACACACACACAAATACAATTAGTGCATTATTTATTGCATATTTAATTAATGCTATTAACATATATGCAATGCAATGTTGCTGGCTGATATTGAAATAATACAAAAAAAAAAATATGAAACACGCTTGAGTACATTTCTTCTACATAAGGTGTAGTTATGTATACCTGTGTATACATACACATGCATATCTGTTTTGTAATTTTAATTATTCTAAAAACTACCAATTATTTGTATTATTTTTAATAAAAAATATATATACAATTAATTGGCAAATCTAAAACCAATTTTAAGCGTTTTTATTGAAATTTAATTCAAAATATGTACTACTACGAAATATTAAATAATTTAAATTTTTATAATTTAAAGCAAAATATTTCATTAATTAATTTTATGTTCATTAAAACATTTTAAAAAAATGTTACTAAAAATTAGTTCAAAATATTTTGTAACTACTAAACTAATTAATTTTTTTTAATATATTTTTTGATTAAAAATGTTTAAAATTAAATTGTATTTTACAATTAATTAATAAATTTAAAATTTATTCAAAACATTTAAATATAACTAAAAATTAATTCAAAATAAATAATTTTTAAATTTTAATTTAAAGAAGATAATTAATAATTTTATATTTAAAAATAGAATTTTAATTTTATTAAAAATTTGAAATTTTAATTTAGTTCCATACTCAAACAATAAATATTTATTTAAAAAATAATTAATATTATTCAATATGCAATTCATTGTTGTTTGATGGTACTAAAATTACATAAAAAAATTAAGAAAAACGATTCACACATTTTGTTTTTGTTTTTTAAGTGTTTTTGTAGCAAAAAAAAAGGTTTATAAACAAAAAAGATATTATTTAATTTTTATTTCAAACATTTTATTTTTATTTAAATGCACGTGATTATTTGCAGACACAATATTTACACGCTTAAGCATATATAGACATCAAGCATATAAACAAAGAACTCACCAACATCATCATTAGCCATTTAATTATTAAAAACAACAAAAACTGGAAGAATTTCAACGGCAAAATGGTTTTTATGCCTCATCATGCATACATACATACATATAACGGTCATACGTGACATACATAGATACAACAATCATATGTATATATATCATATCCATCATTTGTCCGTTGCATAATCATCAACGCCACAAACGTCCATACACAATTGGTACATTTTAAAGCGTCAAAGCAAGTGACTCACATACATACATACAGTTATGGGTAATTAATTTTTATTCTAATATTTAAGTTAATTTTTAATTAAAAAACTTAATTTTTTGCAACATAACCTTATTTATACACATTTAATGAAACATAATCTAAAAACTTCGTTTCCACACCCTTTAAATTCCCTGACCCTTTAAGTGTATGTTTTGGTTTTTTGTTAAGATTAATATTTTTGTTATTGTATCGATTAGTTATATTTAGTTTAAATTTTATTAATATTACAATTATATTGTTTTTATTAAAAATATAATTTTTTTCTTTTTCATTTGTTTTGTCTTATATTTTTCCTATTGACCGACACATATAATTATACGTCAACGCCAGATATGTATCCCATACTCGGCAGCCTTCTGGGCGTTGATACAAGCGTGAGCGCCTCCGGCCCCGCGCTGCCCGGCACTTCTGCATCCATCACCGCCCGCCGCCAGGAGCCGCCAGCCAATGATTTATACGCTTTATTGAATAATAATAGTAGCGGCGCGGCGTCGCTTCTGCAGCGTGAGAGTTTCATGCAGTGCAAGCATTGTAACCGTTATTATAAGACGCATCAGAAGCTGCAGGAGCATGTGCGCAAGTACTGTCTCAAGAAGAAGAAATACCAATGTATTTCGTGTGAGTATCGGTCGCGTCGCAAGGATCACGTGTTACGTCATGCGAAGCGCAAGCATTGCGAGCTGTATGCGGCGTCACGTGACAATGAGGAAAGTCTCTATGAGATACGCACAGAAGAGGAGGGTGACGATCAAGCGCGCTATGAGGAGCATACGGTGGACTATGATGGTGGCTATGGTGATGGTGATGTTGAGGGTATGCCGGTTAGCGCCTTTCTCGATGTGGGACATTTTGGCTTCGGTCTGGGCAGCAGAGATCTGACCATAACCGCTGTGCCCATTTTGCAAGACAGTGATGATGATGACGATGATAACTATGATGATGAAGATGATTGAGCGTATAAGCGGCGTTAAGAAGCAGGGATTATTAGTGAAATGCATATTTTTTGAAAATATGTAGTGCAGTTTTATGCGCTCACACTTATTTTGACATGAATTTGGACTTGCAGTCTTTTAAGTTCTTGTTATTAATCTTATTAGTGTGCCACAAGTTTGTAAGTGTAAATAATTCACGCATATTTCAAGTAAGTACAGTGAAAACTCGATGTAATGAATACAGTGAAGTAAAACTATAAATTAGACAAAATTTGCAATAAAACCTATAATATCAAAATTTTGATTAATATGTCTTTATGTCTAACCTCTTGTTTAGCAGTGTAAATCTAAAAACAACCGATTTAAATTGAAAATTTTGGAAAAACTTTTTGCAAAAAAAAATGTATGAAAAAAATAAAATGTAACTGGTGCTCCTAAAAAACTTATTGTTAAAAAATTAATTTTTTAGACACGCATATAAAAATTTGAAAATTAAAGCCAACCTATATTAGTATTTAATATATTTAGTAATTTTGGCACTAACTAAAAAATACAGCTTCCTTTTTTTTAATATTTAATATTGTTTTTAAAAATTGGTTTAAAAAAACTATCATACCCTATTGCAACATGTGGAAGAGTATAAAATTAATTTTCAATTTATTTTTTATAATAATTATTCTTAATTAATTTTCGGTTATCTTAAACATATTTTTTTTAATAGTTTAATTTTTAAAAATTAAATGTTAAATTTCTGAAGGGAAAAAAATTATTAGGAAAAATTTTGGTAAACGGTTGTGGTTTTTTTTTTATTGAATGTAATATAATATTAATATAAATTAATATAGAAAATAAATAACTATTTTTAGTTAGTTTTTACATTCCGTTTTTAAGAACTTTATATTTAAAAATTTAATAACAAATTTCTGGAGAAAAAAAATTAATTATTAGGAAGAATTTTGGAAAAAAACACTTGTTAAAGATTAGATGTATTTTTAAAGCAATAAGTTGTGGTTTTCTTTCATAAAGATAAAATTTCAAAATAAGTTCGTCATATCGAGGTTTCATTGTAAATACTTGGTGCAACTGCAGAGTAGCGAGGCATAACAGTTAAACTTGAGTTATGATTCCGTTCAGCTGTTGCTAAAAGTGTATTAAATTGGTAATTATTTGACAGTAATTCCAAAAGTCGAAAAACAACACTGTATGCATTTTCACGAACTGCGCTTCAAATACTTTTGCAGAAATTAATATTAGTTATGATGCTTTGAAGCCGCTGCTATGTACATTTTACGTTTTGAAATTGGTATATAACCTCAACCTTTTATATACAAAACTTGTGTTGTTTAAAGAAAAAGCTTAAAATCAAATTTTTACAACCACTTAAAATTTTTTGGTAATATAAGATCTCAAAAATTGAGATTTTCAAGTAGAAAACAAAAAAATAAATGCAAATTTCTCTTAGTAAAATATAAAAAAACGCTTTATTTGCGATTATTTCAACACTATTAAGGCAAAGCTTGTGAAAGCGCTTTTGAACCAATGCTAAGCTACTGTTCTCTTCGTATATATTTCGAATAAGTTGTTACTGCACTGTCACTAAATATAGTTTAATTTTTTTAAATACAATTTTTTAATTTTACAAAATATTAGTTTTAAAACATATGCATATAAATAGAAACATATTTACAAATACTTTATCGGTTCAACTGATCGCTCAGGAATTTTAAGGAATATAATTTGTTAATCAATATGAAATGAAGGCTTGCAAGCATTCTATGTAAATATTTTTGTAATTATGCAATTCATTTCCCATAAGTTTGTACTTTTTTATTTTCTTTTAAATGACATTTCTGTGTAGTGCAAGTGTATTTAGGTGCACAATTTTAAAGTTATAATATTTTGTCAAATCTCAATGAATCTTGCCATTTTTGTGCTAAATATTGTTTAACTGTTATTTACATACATACAAAATGTATAGGTACATGTATGTAAGTATTTATAAATTTTTAATACATTTTTTATGTGATAAGGCTACACTCGAAGTGTAACGTCAGACAACTTGCCGCAAAAAATGCCCTGTGAAAACTAATCTCAAAATTTTCGCGTGCAATTTTTAGATTACTTGCTATTTACTCTTTTTGATTTTAAGTATAATTAAAGTTACAGTAACTGTTGTTCCAAAGTGTTTATTTATTTGCTATATACTGTATAATATTTTTTTTCCTGCTGAAAGTATAAGGAAAGTGAGTGTAACTATTTTTATTTTTTTGTTTTTTAATTTACTTTTTTGGTTTTATTTTTTTAAATTTATTCAATTTTTATTTTATTTTATTTATTTTTTAATGTGTTCAATTTTTGTAAAAATTAAATCGAAATATCAATGATTTTTGAAAAAAAATTTCGGAAAATATGCACAGAGTAGAGTTTATTGATTTTAATTTTAAATATTTCAAGATTTATCTCTTTATAAACTAAACTAGAAAAACGTTCACTTCGGCTGGACTGAACTATTTTACCCTTTACAAATATAAAAGATGCCATGCAAAAACGTTATTTCGATCGTTCAGCATTAGATAATAAACCATGCCAAATTTTTTGAAGATATTTCGTCAAATTAAAAAGCTTCCCATGCAAGCACTTATTTCCGATAGTTCCGTTTGTATGACAGCTATATGCTATAGTGGTTCGATATCCGTTCCGACAAAGGGGCAGCTACTTGGGGAGAAAAGAACGTGTGCAAAGTTTCAGATATAGGTATATCTCAATAACTGAGGGACTAGTTCGCGTATATGCAGACCGACAGATATGGCTAAATCGTTCCAACTCGTCACGCTGATCGTCTACATATACAGTATATATGTTATATACTTTATAAGGTCTCTGACGTTTCCTTTTGGGTGTTACAAGCATCGTAGCAAACTTAATATACCCTGTTCTGGGTATAGAAATTTATGACAACACCACCAAAACTTTACGTTTTTAAGTAAAAAAATATATATTTTTTGTGTTTTATTTATTTTATTTTATAATTTTTTTTTTTCATTTTATTTTTGTTTCATTTTATTATATTTTATCAAATATCTAACGATATTTAATATCAATTAAAAATTGTATAACAATAAAATAACGATTTTTTTCAATATACATGTATATGGCATAGTTTTTTGATTTTAACTTTAAATATTTCAAATTATATCTTTTTATGAACTGAACAATTTAAGACAACACCACCAAAACATTCCTTTTTTGTATATAAAGCTAATTATTTTGTTTTTGTTTTTTTATTTATCTGATATTTGATTTTTGGTTTTATTTTTTCATTTAATTTAATGTATGTTTTATATTTTTTGTTTTGTTTTTTCATTTTGATTTAATTTTTTATCTAATATCTAAATATATTTAATTTAGTTTAAAAAATTTTCTAAAAAAATTTTGAAAATATTTATAGGACACAACGTTTTGATTTTAATTTTGAATACTTCAAAATATATCTTTATAAACAAACAAAATTTTGGAACACCACTAAAACATTATTTTTTTAAAATATAAATCACTCCAGTTTTTTTCATTTGCTTAATATACAGTTATTTAACAAAATGTATTTGTTATTACTGAAAAACAATATTTTTGTTTTTAAATTCGCATTCTACATACAAAAAATATGTGTTACGAGTGCGTGTACCTTGCCACAGTTCTTTCATTGCAAATAGTTTTCATATAGGCCTGGGTTTAACTTAAGAAAATATTTATGCAAGTATGTTTATAATTAAAAATAGGTTAATTTTTTATTTTAAATACAAAAAAACACAAAACTGAGTCTCAACATAAGTATGTGTGGTTATTTTTTTAAGTTTATGTGTATGTAAATGGTAAAATTAAATAAAAATAAACTACAAATCAAATCAAACGAAATTGTCTTACACTTAAATATATTTTTATATTTGTACCTATCTTCCAAAAAATTATTAAAATATGTCAAATAATAAGTAAAATTAAGAGCTTTATAAAAATTGAAGTTAAACTGAAAAACTGAGCTCTACTGATTTGCCATTTATGCAAAGTCATTCAAATGTTTTTCATAATATTTGCACATAGCTGCAAACGCACCGCCTATTCATTATTTACAAACTTTTAATGATATCTTTTGTTTTATTTGAATTTCAGGCACCTCCGATGGTTATTGGACAATCTTGGAGACAGTGCCCTATTCGCTGCAGAATACCGCCACCAACGCGACCGGCACTATTTCCAGTGTGGCCAATACCCAGTTGCCGGTGCATCAGCACCAAGCGCTGCACCACCAACAGGACGAGGGCAACTCCAGCGAGGCCAATCTGCTGGCCGGTGCCACAGTTGTGGTCGAAATACCTACAGAAACGATGCGCAACGCTATTAAGTACACCATACCGGAGGCGGAACATCAACTGTTACACACCACGGAGAGCACGCTGGCCACTGCAGGCACCAACCAACGCATACACATCGTAAAAGATATGCGTTTAAATCCCACTGTGACGGTGGCACAACAAACCAATATCACGGCAACGCACGTGGAACAGTCCAATCGTCAGCAGAGCACACAACAACACTTCACTTTGAATGATTGCCTCAGCACGGGTGTGGTGGTGCAGCAACACCACCATCCACAGCGCCAACAGACGACGCAGCAGCAGCAGACGGAATTCATAAAAATCGACACGATCCAAGAGAAGATGATGTTGCGCAATGTTATACAATATGAGGCGGTAGATGGCTTGCCGGCAGACACATCGCAGGTTATCAGTGCATTGGTGGAAAGTGAGAAGCAGCAGCAGCAACAGCGTCAACAGCAGCACCAGCAACAACAACAGCAGCAGCAGGATGTGTTGCGCAACACGCGTGAGCTTGAGTTGCTGGACAAGGCGGTCAGCGACACGGTGCTCAATGCCTTCGAGCAACAGGAGGCGGAACACATCGAGGAGCATAAATCGCAAAATAATGAGGCACAGGACAAGCACCTGCTGCCGCTCATGCATTGCCCCACGAAGATACTGACGCCCGCCGCAAACGAAGTTCAGCTACAATATGTTTGCAATTTGTGCGGCAAGTCGTACAAAATTAAGGGCTCCTTGAAGCGTCACAAACGCTACGAGTGCGGTGTAGCACCCACGGTCGCGTGTCAATTCTGCCCACACAAATGCAAATACAAATCGGATCTGCGTAAGCATGTCTCACAGAAGCATGCGGGGCAAAGTGGCGAAGAAATGCTGATGGACCAGCGTTTAAGCACCGAATAAAGTATTTAAATTATTTTGAAACAATAACTTTTGAAGTAGCACAATCTTATTGAATTAATTCAAATTAAGTAATTTTTAGGAGGAGAGCTGAAGCTTAAATATTTATTTATTTGGTGTTAAAATGCCACCTTGAAGAATCTGACTTTTCTCTTTTTATCGATAAAAATTTTAAAGTTTTCTGTTATTATTTTTATAATTAATTATTTATAGATGTGTATACATTTTTTAATATTTTAATTGTTTTCAACTTGGTATAGAATGCTACATGGAAAAAACTGACAAGTTTTATTTTTCTTTGTTAGTTTATTTATTTGTTGATTACTTTAAATTTAAGTGTTAATATTTATATATATTTAATTTTAAAATATTTTTATGATATATAAACACATATATATGAACATACAAGAGGCAATTATTATATTGTATATATTAAATATTTTTCGTATAGTTGTAAGTATTTTTAATATAAGTTTTAATTATTTTTGTAAGTATTTTTTTATTTTTAATTATTTTATATATGTTTAAAGTATTGTTTACTTTTTCATTATTTTACTAACAGTTTAATTTTTTTTTCTTTATATATAGAATTTTTAGAAAAATTGTGTATATACTGTTGTTTCTTCATGTTTATATGAATTTTTTAAATTTGTTAAATTCTATATACTTTTTTTAATATTTTTAAAACTGTTTAATTATTTTGTTATTGATGTTCGTTATTTTTTTAAAGAATGTTTACTCTTTTCACTTATTTTCTTTATATTTAAAATTTTCTTTTTTTACAATTTCTACTTAGCTTTTTGAAACTTGCCAACATGAAACTATGAGACTCATATAATGCATTATACCTATTTTGTTTCTATGCTTTTCTGATCATCTAATATAAAAACAAAGCGATAATGGTGTATATTGTCAAAAAATTTGCCACAATTTTGAAGCTCACTTGACTTTTCAACACGAAGATTTCCAATTTATACCAATTTTTGGTATAATAGACTTCTTTTGGTTAAATGAAGCTTCCTTGTCCAGCTCGAGCTTAAATTTTCAACATTTTAATATAAATTTTTTTTTTAATTTTCGAGTTAATTAAGTTAAGCTTTTGAGTTTTTTTTGTTTCAAATTGAAATTGTTTAATTTTGTAATTTTTTATTGTAAGTCAATGAAACTTTTCATAATATAATATATATTAAATTGAACTATGTATAATGTAATTAATGAACAAATTTAAAAAAAGAAAGGAAAAGAACTTTTATTATAAAAAATTTATTTTACAATTTTTATTACATATTATTAAGTGCAATTTTTATTAAAAGTCCTTGAAAATACTTAATTTTAATTTTGAACCTATTTTGACTGTATTTCAAAATACAAAAATATATATATTTTTTTAATTTTTAACTGTAATTTTTTATTGTTAGTCAATTAAAATTTTAATTAATTTAATTTAATTTTTCTTCACCATTTTAACATGGAATTTATAAGCAGTATTTTTTTTATTTTATGTTTTTTTCGTATAAATTATTAACTTTTTTATACTGTGCTATTATTATTATTTGTCTATTTATTTTGATTAATTTTATTTTGTTTTAAATTTATTTAAAATTTAATTATTTTTTATTACGTTTTTCAAATGTAAATTATATTTAAAATAATAATTAAAAGCGTTTTACTGCATTTTATTATATTTTTTACATTCTCGATCCATAAATTACTTATATTCCTCCGCTGTCGCTCGAAATCTTTGTTTGTATACACCAGTGACTATTCTATCTATTGTAAATACTAATGTAATATACTATATATTATTGATTACTATTTAAGAATCTGTGTAATATGTAGACTGAAGAAAACATATATTTTAAAACAAACATGTTAAGTAATCCAAGTAATCTAAGTAATCTTAACAAGCCAAAAAAACTTAAAATTAATTTAAAAAGAAAAATTGTAAGCATCACATTTTACATAAACTTACTGATGTGTGTGTATTGAACGTAAGCTTAAAGTTAAGCAGTTACAACTCGACAACAACAATAAGGAATGAAAATTTTAATGTAAATAAAACAAAATTTGTTGTGAAAATGTAGAAATTGCAATATAAATATAATATAATTTACGATATATGTATGTATGTGTATTTATAAGTAAACGAAATTCATCAACAAATTTTGCGCTATTTATTTGTCAACTAGTTTTGGTTTAAAACTTAGTTAATATTCTCAGCTATTGTGTTGTAAGGCTTCAAAAGGCGGCGTGTCATGCATTTATTTAATTATATTTATTGATTGAAGGGTAAACAGGCATATTTTCTTTTACGAATATATAAAAAAAAAAAATTAGTGTTATTAGACGAGTGTGATGTTCAAGCAGTTATTAAAATAAAAAAATTAAAATAAAACCTAAACACATATGTATGTATGTAAAAGCAAGCTTTCTATTCAATGAGCAGTAAATAATGGGTGTGGAACGTAAATAATGTAAATATGTATGTGAAATTGTCTTTTTGAAATGTGTAATAACAATTTATGAACGCTAATCTAATATTTGTCTCTCTTTTTTAGGTATCAGCACAAAACGAGTTGTGAGCAGAGCTTTGTGTTTTGCATTTGGAAATGAAACATACACGTGACTGCATATTTATTTATGGGATGACTGAAAATTTACACCTTACTTTAAGTATTATTTTAATATTTCCAAAAACAAAAAAAAACAGGAAAAATGTTGTATTATTATTTTTGTTTGTATTTTAATAGACTATTACTATAATTTATGCATACAAATATATATACATATATGAATTTACTGTTACCTAATGAACACATAATGGGTTTTTATACGAGGGATTTTTTTTTATACATAGAAAATTTAGGTTTTAAATTGAAGAGGCAACTTTGATGCAAAATAAACTTAGAACTTATTTTATCTTTACTATTTACGCCATGTTTGCGGTCATTAAAATTGTAAAGGAGTTGCATTTAGCAAACAAATGATATAAGTGCTTTGAAGGTCAAGGTCTTTGTTAGTTATCTTGCATTCGACAGTGCTTACTACCTGTCTCTCAAATAGTTACACTTTCGAAAATTTATATTTTTCAAAGCATAAATAGCTTTACAATCGGTGTGTAGCTTTTGCAAAATAAAATGCGCTTTTTCGATGCTAACAAATATATAAATATGTTAAAATACATATTTTATTATTGACCTTTTATATAAATTGTAATTGCAACTAGGCTTAAAGTTAAAAAAATGCAATATTTATTCAATAACCAATGAATTTTTAATACAAATGTAAATCTAAAAGCTTTTAAGCACAAAAAGTTTTGGAATTATAAATTTTTAATGAAAAAATGTGTTTTTGTATCTGGTTAGGTTAAATAAAATTTCATTATTTATAAAATAATTAATGACTTTGGGATGCTTATGTTAATCAAAAAGCTTTTAAGCACAAAAAGTTTATGAGTTACAAGAAATAGTGAGCTCTTATGAAAAAGTTGGTATTAATTACGCAATTTATTAAGAATCCTTTTACGTAAGCAGGCATATATTATTTACAAATACATTTTTACATTGTATGTATGTTATTTCAATATGTGTAATTTAATATAAATTGTTTGCAAACTCTTTATTCTTTGCTTTCTTATTTTTCTACGCTGTCGCTCATGATTTTTTTAATGCAACTACATATTCAACTTATAATTTTTTTAGTTTTTCATACATATGTATATTATTTAAACACGAGCTTTTATATATAAATACTTATAAATACGTATAATTCTACCATATCATTAAAAATTCTACAACTTTCTGCTATTTTTCAGACACTATCTCTTTGGACAGCATAACGATCACCTCGAGTAAGTACAATTTGCGCCGCCAAACACGACAGGACTCGGTAAATCTCGGCAATGCAGCGACAACCAAAAGCAAATTAACAACGGCGGCTTTGGCAGAACTACAACAACAGTCGTGCCACACCAACTACGACACCAGCAGCAGCAGCAGCGAGGGTGGCTCGCTCATAGAGGCACAACAGAATGCATTGAAAACCGATGAACAAGCCATCGCCAACAATCCAACCGCGCTCATTGCACTACAACAATTGGCCTCCATTTCGTCGGTGCAATCGCTGGAGCGCATCATGCCGACTTTGCGTAAAAATTTACTCGTCAATACAGACAGTTTGTATGCAAATCGTTCAGGCAAATTGCCGCGACAAAGCTCGAAGCGGCTGTCGCAATTCGAGACCAATCGTTGTCCGCTATGCTCGCGTGTCTATCGCTCGCAAGCTTTTCTCAATGAACACATGCGCAAGGAGCATTCGGTTTTGATATAAGCAAACGTAAATTTGTGTATACTACTACTATTTTACATACACACATATGTACTTTGGAATATGTGCATACATACTTGCCGTATGTTAACTAAAACAGCTTTAATGAAGCCACTGAGCGTAACTTAAAATTAAAAATTAATTAAAATTAGAATGCATTTTTTGTTTTGGGGCCTGTTCGTAGACAGAAAAATGCGTACATAAATATACATACTTATATATTTGGTATTGCATAACATTTTAGAGGAAAATGCTGAGAATTAATTTAGTAATTGATTTCCCGCTTTAGCAGCGCAACAACAACTTGTTTAACATACATACACACACACATAAAAAGTAATAAATTTAACGTAACATCGCCCTGTAAACAAAATAAATTGTTTCAACTATCAAATATTATATAATATATAACTGTACGGTTACGAGCTAGCATTGTTACAATGGCAGATTGTTTAAGTTTTTTATCTTAATAATAAAACTTGAAAGAGTAAATTTTACAAAAATGTTTGTGCTAGATTTATGTTATTAGCGAGGCAGTAAATTGTGTAACGGTTGTTTTGTAAATCTTATAGTATATTTACCACGAAAGCGCTGGTATCTAATGAGCTGTATATGTACTTTATGGTTTTATGTTTCACGTGTTTGGTGTTGTAGTCGTCTAATTAAGTAACATTTGTTTCGCAGGCTTTAGTTTATATATGTTTAATGCATAATTTGACTTCAAAACGAAATAATACTGCTGCCAAAACTCAAGACATACTAATAAATGAATATATACATACATGTAAGCAGGGTTGCGAATTTTTAATTAAACAAATTGTATCATAAATTAGATTTTAAATTTTTAATTCCAATTTTTCCGGTAAGCAAATGTAAATTCAAATATAAAAAGTTTTCATTTTATAATTTAAAAAATATTTTAAGTTATAAATTTGAGATTAACATATTTTTTTATTTTTCAAACCGGTATTCGGGATTAAAAACTTAGTTTTAATTTTTCTATCCTGTATTTGGGATCAAAAATCTTAAAATTTTTTATTAAGTTTTTCTGGATTACAACATAAAAAAAGTTCAATACAAACTGAAAAAGTTTAAAAAATTCAATGCTAATTAAAATTTTTTTTGTAATAATACCCTGCTTATAAGTATGCAAATATCGGAAAAATATGCTAAATATAAGCATATTAAAAGTAGTACAGCATAAAATAGGTTTTTATCTAATTAAATATATGTATAGGTATGTACATACATATATGCATAGCATATGTTAAATACCAGAAATCAGTAGTTTGTAGCGACAATATAATATAAGTGCTCATAATTTTCAAAACTTTAAGCAAACATTCAAATTTTTTGCACAGAAATCGAAAATTTTAAAAGTTTAAAAAACAACCACAGTTAATTTCGCTAAAAACAATTATTTTTAACATTTTGGCCAATTTTACCTAAATAATAAAATGCAAAAACTGAAAATTCAAAAACGAAATTTTAATGAAAAATTCAAATTTCTGTATAAGCATACGCTTAAATGCATGTAGACTCCTCTCCTATTTGTACACATTTCTTTGTAGACACATACACTTTAAATATAAATACAAGAATAAACACATACGTATGCATATACAAGCACACAACTGCCTGTGTAAGGCTTTGAAAACTATTTTTCTAGTTTTCCAAGTTTGTCGTTTGGCACATTAAACGCGTTGCTTCACCGTAAATATAGCTACACTTATACGCTACATACCATACATACACACGCACTGCGATACATACAAAAAGGATCAACAGTCGGTTTCTTAACTTTTGCCAACTGTGCTCATGTTGGAAAATCGAATTGAAATCAACGAAAATCGGAGATACAGCCGTCGCATGAAGGCAGCAATTCCCAGAAATAGCTGCAATTGTTTTCGAAATATTCTAGTACCTGATAGCTGCTTACATGCATACACAAACGGGCAATTTTCCTGCTACATATGCATGTGAATGTGTGTATATGTGTCGCCTGTGCTTGAAAACAACAAATTTGAAGGCGAAATGTTGCTTGCAAAGGCTTATTTGTGCATTTGGAAAATGCGCAGACATATGTATGTATATGTGTATATGTATGTATGTGGGTGCATAGCTGCCCTGCAGTTTCAAAAATATGCCTCACTTTGGCGATCCTGCCGCACGAACACTTGCAACAGGCTTGCAAAGCGTTTTTCCTGCTTGCATTTCTATTTATCTAAACATATACATGTGTGTTTGTATGTATATATATAGTAGATGCAGGGTATATGTATATGGCGCATGCTCAAACTTTCTCTCTTTCTCTTATGCTGGTGTCAAGGATAACTTCAGACCTAGATTTGCCTTTGTGTATATATGGCGAAATGTATGTATGCATGTTTACATACAATATGTATATGGTATGTAGGTATTTGCGATAAGGTCAGGCGCAACAACAATAATACGGCAGCTGTATGCAGCGGTGCAACAGTGTGTGGACACCGCCTGCGCATATACAGACAGATTTGCTATGCAGTTAGCTAGATATATATGTATGTATATATGTGTGTGTGTTTGTGTGATCTTCGCTGTGTTGTGTGTATCCTCTTCGCAGGATTGAAAATAGCTTCTGTGATCGAGGCATTACTATTTTGCCTCTGACCTTTTTCTAGGCACATGTTTGTGTATGTGTGTGTGTGTGTTTACTTTCGAAATGCATACATGCAGGCTTTTGTATGCACACAGCGCCGCACATGCATGAGTACATACATATATGCAGATATACTTATGGGTACATGCCTGTGATTCTACGAAAATCGAAATAACGCTTAGAAAATTAAGTTAAATCTTTTTTTCGTAAGCGCAGTGCTGAAACACGAGTGGTGCTGTAGCGACGCTTCTTGAGGTTTTGTGTGTAGCTGTGTGTCGTATGGAAAATAATTGAATTTAACTAAAGCTTCTAGAGCTTTAAAAGTATAATTCATAAATTATTTGGTTAAAATAAAATTAAAAAAAAGAATTCTTTTCGTGTTAAGTGCTTATAAAACCAAGACTATGTTTAAGACAATAATACAACATTTTTTGGCATTAAAAAATATTGTTTAGTTTTTTTTTATTAAAATAAATTTTAAATTAATTTATTACAGTGCTTCCGTATAATTATTGCAAAATGCAAACCAAATTTGTGAAAACATTTAAGAAATGCAAATAAAATACTGCACAGTGTCTGGTTGCGAGCTACAAGTGCAAAAATAATTTTGAAAGTGCAGTGATTTATAAAAAAAAATAGTAAATAAACTATTTACGAAAACAGTTTTGTGCATGTGAAGCTAAGACAAATACTTAAATGGTCCTAAAGCACATGCTTTCAGTCAAGAAACATTTTTTTAAATAAAATTTAATATAAATTTTAATATTAAAAATATTTAAAAAAAAAAATTTTAAATTATATAAAATATTATTATTCATGCAACACAATTTTGTCAACATCAACATTTTTAACTCAATCAAATTTAATTAAATTGCAATAATTGCTTAATTAAGCAAAATCTGTAAAGGAAATACATTTTCAAACTAAGTACTCACAGCAACACACCGAGCGTCAAGCAGCAATCCTGTGTTTCAGCACTGCCTTCGTGCCATACACATAGATACATAAACACATTTGTACCAATATCTATGCACGCGCACACATACACATGTTATAACACCGTTCTAATCTATTCTCTTCTCTATCTTTCTATTTTTCTAGGTCAAGATTAAGCGTTACGTGCCAACGAAAGTGACAATATTGTAAAACCGGTTTCAGTACCTTAGCCATAAACTAATCTATTTTCTCTTTTGTTTTTCTTTTACGCAGGAAATTTCGAAAATCAGGATAAAGCAACATGCTCAAGCTCTACAAAAAATCACATATTTATATACTATATATATACATATATATGTATATCAAATAACTAACTGCGTTTGAACTACCTGCAGGCGATAATTCACTCGTAAGTTAGTAAGCGCATAAGCCGTTATGTCGTCGAAGCATAGCAAATTAACCACAATCATCTGATCATACAGTTTGCACAACTTCCGTAATGATTATCATCCAAATTATTTATTACATGTACATTATTATATTTAATACCAAAAACTTGCACTTGACAAAGTTAACAGGAGATATAACAGTTAATTATTACGAAGAAGTATGCATTTTTTTTTACATATAAGTGACATAAATGATGTTTGTGTATTTAGAGTAAAATATCTAACTTTTAGCGTAAAGAAATGCATTTGGGTATGAAAAATGTTGCACAAGTGTATTTTTCACTTTTAGTTTCAGATTTATATATTATATAAAATATATATCTAGAAATTTTTAAACTTGCCACATATATTTCACAACTTCCACACAACGGTGAAAAAATCTGAAATCTCAATATTTTTGCAACAAAGCTCGTTTTGGTGCAAAATCATATCAATTATAAAATGGGCGTGGTAGCGCTTCCACTATTTCCACATGACTGTGTTAAGCCTAAAAACATTATATTTTTGTAACGAAATTCGACTTCGAATATAATGATGTCAAATATACATGTCGGCGGCGCTTATAATTATATGATTATGCTTGCTATAACTGTATATGTTCCACAACATGTACAGAAAAGTGAAAAATCGAATATTTCAATGTTTTAAAAAAAAAGCTGGGTTTAAAATATAATCATGTCGAATATAAAAAAGGCGTGACAGCGCTTAGAATTATGTACATACATCAGTCCACAATGGGTGCTGCTAAGCAACCGTAATGGACCGAAAATCGTAATGCGCCAAGGACTGTCAACTCGTCAGTATTTTCACAAAAGTCTTGGAAAATGTATTAGCCACTACAATAACAAAAACACAATGCGAATACGTGATTCACTTAAAAACCAAAATTATTTGTGTTGAATTGGCGCTTTCTTTCAAATATTTATACCCTGAACAGGGTATATTAAGTTTGCCACGAAGTTTGCAACATCCAGAAGGAAACGTCGAAGACCCTATAAAATATATAAATGATCAGCGTGATGAGCTGAGTCGATTTTGTCATGTCCGTCTGTCTGTCTGTATATACACGAAATAGTCCCTCAGTTTTTGAGATATTGATATGAAATTTTGCACACATAATTTTTTCCCCCAAGAAGCTGCTCATTTCTCGGTACTGCCGATATCGGACCACTATAGCTTGTAGCTGCCATACAAACCGAACGATCGGAATTAAGTGCTTGCATGGGAAACTTATTTGAGGAGTAATCTTCACAAAATTTGGCACAGAATATTACCCAAAGTAACAGTACAACCTCCGACAAAATTGTTTAGATCAGTTTACTATAGCATATATGTAGCTGCCATACAAACTGAACGATCGGGATCAAGTTTTTGTAAGAAATCTTTTGTATTTGTGAAGGGTGTTATAGCTTCGGTGCAACCGAAGTTAACTTACTTTGTTTCTTGTTTCAAATAACAAATGCACATAAAATCAGGCGGAGTGTGAATTTATAATAATTTTAGACAACAACAACAACGAATTGTTTAAATTGGATTGAATTGGTTTGTTGAAATTTTATAAATACAACAGGTCTTCTGAAAGGATAGTCTTTGAAATAATAATATATATAGTTATTTATGTTTTATTATTATTACTATTTATATATTTTTATTATTATTATAACCGTTACTAATAATTAAATATTTTGACTATATCTGTTTTGTATAGTATTATTTTTTTAAGGCTATGTTTTTGAGTAGCAATCAGGTTAAGTTAATATTTAAGTTATTACAATTTTTGTTAAATATTTTGTTTCTACCTTACAATTGATTTTGTAGCAGTTTTAATATAATTTCAGTTTAATTATGGTCTACTTATTCATTAACTTATATGGAAAAATAATTTTGTATGAAAATTTCAATATTTTTAAAATTTATATATTTTTATAATTTTACTTATGTTTGTTTGTTATATTATACAAAATCATAAAATTTATATTAAACATTGTAATAATTTTTTCATTTATTTATTTTTAATTGTTTTTGGCAAAAACACCAACGTTCAGGCGATTCACACTGCACTGTACTATAAAATATATTAAATACATTTTAAAAAATCATGACACTGTTGTTTTATTTTTATTTTAGTCATACAACATTTTGTTTTAATATTTTATAAATATTTTTATAATTATTTTTAAGCGTTATCTATTTTTATTTATACTTTTTTAATATTTTCTATTTTTATCGTGCATGTTTGATAATTTTAATTTATTTTTTTAATTTTCTTTATATTTTTTATTATTTTTAATGTGTACAATTTATTATTTATTTAATAGTACAATTTTCACATCATTATCATTTTTTTTGTATATTGCATGCTAACCCCTTCACCTCACATTCGCATTTAATCTCACTTCTTTACGCAGCATAAATTTCATACACATTTACACATATGTCCTTTACTAAAAATTTAATTTTCATACATTTTTAATTTCAGATTTTAGCCGAAAACCATCGCAGCTGCACAAGGAGAACACCTCGCCTCAAGGTGTCTTAATACAGAAGTCATGTCAACGTTCCATACTCAACACACACGGCGCCAAGCGGCTCAATGTGCGCAATGCCAGCGCCAGCGATGACATGTCGCCAGAAGCTGCGGCTGGGCTCGTTCCCGAAATGTCACCGCAAACACAAGCCGAAAGAGTAATTGTGCCACCGAATATGAGTCGGAAAAATATGTCTATGACGGATGTCTCAGATATTCTCATTAATCTGTACAAAACAAATGTAGCTAATGCACCAAAGAACCAACAGACTATAGCGGCCAAGTTCAGACAAACTTCGCCGACTTCGGCTGAGGGTCACGAGCCATCGAGCATAGCGGCTATTGCTACCAAAGGCGCCGCCGCTGCAGTGAATGAGCCAAAAAACTTGCAAAATGATGAAATGGTGTTCGCAGCGAACGAAGAACAACAACAGCAAAACCCGCCCGTTACGTCAGAGAATAGCGGAACCGCTGCGCATGCATCATTTCATCAAGCCACTGAGAATGCGAACATAATGAAAACTGCAAACGCAAATGCCGATAATAATTTGTATGGTTTTGCTGTCGGCGCATTGCCACCGATTAATGCCATACCGACATCGGTAGTGGTGACAGCGAATGGTGAACCGCTCGATATAAAACCCGTTATAAATCCAACAACTGGACAGGTGATGCCTATGCTGCCTAATGTCGTCGGCTCCTCGGTGATTAAGCCGGTGCCAACATTGACCGATGCTCAAATCCCGTCTTTGGCACCCTTGAGTAGTGCCTTGGAGCGTGCCAATGCACTGAACAGTCAAAATAATGGCTCACCAGCTGGTGTAATGCCCGCCGGTTGTGATGTCTTGCCACCGGCGGCCGTGCTTGCCGCGGCACTCCTACGTGATGGCTACAACAACTTCCAACAACAATTGCGCACACAAGAATTGCTGAAGATGAATGGACAGGCCGATGCGAATAACGGTACTGTTGGTGATACGAGTGCCGTAAATACTTTTTCATCGAAAATATTGGAGAATTTTTTACGTCAACGTCGTCTCAAATCGGAAAGTGCAGCCGAGAATACTGCAAACGAAATGGACGCCGCCGATGGCGATGACGAAGATGATTCGCGCTATAACGGTTTCGATGACATACACTTGGTTGAGGGTTCCAAACCTACTTATAATAATTCTTCCATGCCCGGTCTCTACCAAGCGGGCGCCGCTTCTTCGTCCTCACCACATTTAACAGCCTCAAATACCGATTATATGTCTGACGATTCGCAAAAGTTCATGTTCGGCGCACATTCGCAGGCATTCCGCCATCTAGAGTACACGCTCGGTGTTGAAAACGGTCCGTTCGGCATGGGGAGTGGCCAAGAGAGCGGCAATAACGAAAACAGCAATGAGGGCCCCGAACCCATTTACGAGTGTCGTCATTGTGGCAAAAAGTACCGTTGGAAGTCGACTTTGCGGCGCCACGAGAATGTCGAGTGCGGCGGCAAGGAACCCTCGCATCAATGCCCCTACTGTCCGTACAAGTCGAAGCAGCGCGGCAATCTCGGTGTACACGTGCGCAAACACCACTCGGATCTGCCGCAATTGGCCAGTAAACGGCGCTCGAAATACTCAAATAAATTGGACAGTAGCAATATTAGCGCAAATGCGTCAGATGACTCGTCGAGCAAATTGATCATAGATTGCTCGAAATAATAGTATAACAGTTAAAACGAAAGCAAAGTGACTGCGTGCGTTCCGTGTGAAACTTTAAAATATTTCAAAAACAATTAAGAGTTAACGGTACTTTAAATACCGTGTAGCAGTTTGACAACAGCGGCCACGTAATTAGAAACACACTTACTCACATATAAGCGCAGTTGCATACTTGATGCATTTTCATGCATCAAAAATGTATATGTTATTCGTCGTTTTACATACATACATACATATAGACTTACATGCAGATATATCTAAATATTTGTTTTTGTAATTTAATGAAAGTTTAAGACTGTTTACAATAAGTTTAACCAATAACTGAACTGATATTATATGCTTACTGACATACAAACATACATATTTTTTATTATACTAAGTTAATTACATACATACAAACATTATCTTATATATTTTCATGGATTTTTACTTATTACTTTACATTTTATGTTTAAAGTCAGTCAGAGAAGTTGCAATAAACTCACTCTTTGCTTTATTTTGACTGCAACTACATGCATGCTTACACACATATACTTACATGTGTGCATATTATGTAAGTGTCGTCAACTATGTGCCTTAAGTATAAGTATTTACGTCCATATCAAAATAGTAAGTGTTCAAATCTTTACTTTTCGCAACGTTTCTTAAGATTTTATTACGCTTACCAATATGCAAGGCATTTTCAAACCTATTTTATAACTGTAACTTCATTTATAACTTTTAAAAATTTTAAATACAATAGCTGACTTGAGAATCATAAATGGAACGTGAAACTATAGAAATATTTCTCAGACCAAAATCCCTAAAAACAAAGGTTTAGCCATAAATATCGAAAATTATAAAAAGAAGGAGAAAAAAACTTATTTTCAAGTGCTTAGAACATAAATAACATAATATTAATTTTAGTAACCGAAAACTTACTTTAAAATGCACGCTTTAGAATAGAAAATTCGAATTTGGCTGTCTTGTCTAAATTAAACGCGAATTAATAGCATCTTAGACATATGCATGAAGACTATGCTGTTGTTGTATGTTAGTAATATAAAGTGAATCCGAGCCTGGTAAGAAAAGTTCGAATTTGAATCCGTTGTAGCAGTCACAACCAGGCAGCTGCCGAATCGCCATTTTTTGAACAAATGTTGCACAAAAATCGACTAATTTTTGCAGTAAAAATTAACAAATAAATCATTTTAAAAAATAAAAAAATTACAAAAATTAAAAATAAAGTAAATAGTTACTATAATATTAATTGATTATTTCTCATTTAAAAAATAATAATTATTATAAAAAATAACAATAAATAATAATAATAATATCAATACTAATAATATATTATCTAGAACCGATTAATTTTTTCCACTTAAAAATTTAAAAAAAAATAAAAAATAAAAAATTATAAAAATTAACCATAATGAAAAAATATAATAACAATAAAAATATTTAAAAAAAATAAAAATATTAATGATAATTATTTCACTTAAAAATTAAAAAAATAATAACATTATAAAATTAACAATAATAATGAAAATGATAAAAAGTAACAATAATAAAAACAACAACAAAAATTGTTTCCTTGATAACTGATGTAATTTTTTCACCTTAAACGAAAAAAAAATTTATGTTAAAAAATAATAACTATAATCAAAATAAAGTAATAAAAAGTGTAAGTGTAATAAAAATAACAACAACAACAATTTTTTCATTGATAATCGATCTAAAAAACGAAAAAAAAATCATAAAAAATAACAACAATAATAAAATAATAAAAAAGCTAATAATAATAAAAGCAACAACAACAAAAATTGTTTCATTTTAAAGACATTATTACCAGCATATAAAAATTTTTAAATGAATTTAATGATTGTTAACATATTCAAACTTAAATATATTTCTTATTTTTTATATCTTCTAGTTGCCACCTAAATAACCTAAAAAGTAATGCATTCGAAACCAAAGCCCATCACTTACATTATATGAGATTTTTTTATAGATATAATGATATATAATTAAAATAAAGACTTGAAAAAAAAACATTTTTAGGTTAAGTAGACTGTTGCAAGCGCAAGTATTATACTCATTGAAACATATATTTTGAAATAGTGCTTCACCATAAATAAATACCTTGTCGATTAAGCTCTCAACGACTATAAATTTATAAGCATACATTCAAAATTATATATAACACATATAGATATTGCAAATCTAAGCACTATATATGATATAACCACTATCATTTAACCTTAAGTGATCTCTATGTAAAAATGTTGACTGAATTTTATTATTTATTAACAAGCAAGACTGAACAGCCTCTTTATGGCGCAAAAAAGTTTCCATTTATACATACATACATACATATGCACAAATGGACATACCAAGATGAGTATATCTACAAAAAATTAAAAAAAAAATTATGATTTCATATAACTAGACACTTAGGTGTATGTATCTACCCTTCTGAGTACATGTGTACTAAAATTTATGTAAAACACACTTATGATTAAAAAATACAACCAAATACATATGTAAATGTCGCTAAGTTAATATGCCGCAAATAAATATAACTTTATTGAAATATCTTTAATAAAGTAAAAAAAAATCAATTTAGTAATTTCTAGGCATAAGTTTAATTTTTTTCTCGTTTATATCTTTAGCACATCACCTCATCATCCTCCACATATACACGATCACTTGAAACATCCACTCAGAAATGCAGCTTATATAGAGTTCAATCTCAACTGTTCTTAACAACCGATACGACTATACTGTCACTTTAATCAATGGACGACCAAAAACGTATGCCGTTCTTGGATTAACCTACAATCATTATGCAACATTAGAAAACTCTCCTATGTATCCAACCAGAAAACCGAATTATTTTTGAAGCTGAGAATGCGGAAAGCAAGACGCGAAGCGACACTATCATTCTTTGAAAGCAGATTACACCTGCCGTAAGCTGAATTTTTTCAACTCGCGCATGAACAAAAACAGAACCCGAAAGCACAACATAAACCTGGAAATCCAACTCTTCAGGGCGCTCAGATCGAAATAGACAGATAGCGGACACCTACCTGTATATATGTCGTATATAATTCGTTTTCCCTGGTCTTTTTCAGTTTTAAAACTTGATCGATCGGTTGAAGTAGTTTTTTATACTCTTGCAAGATGTTGGTGCAGAATATAATATTTTTGTTTACCGAACGGTTGTTTGAATCACCTAAAATAATCGAGTTAGATACATGGTTATATATGCATAAGTGATCAGGATGAAGAGACGAGTTGAAATCCGGGTGACTATCTGTCCCTCTGTGCAAGCGGTAACTTGAGTAAAAGTTGATATGTATATCTTGATGAAACTTGGTACACTAAGTTTTCTTGGCACCATAAGAAGATTGGCATTGTAAATGCGCGTCCACTGCCACGCCTACAAAACGGCATTAATCGAAAACCAATTAATTGCCTTAACAAAGCTCCACAATTAGATACAAGACTGTTATTTGGTATAACGAATCGTATTAGGGAGGGGCACACCTTTAGGTGAAAATACATATCTTGGTATCTACTTGACCTTGGTAAGTAACATTATCCTAACATGCCTATATACAGTGCAAAAATGAGGGAAATCGAATTTAAACCACTTCCCATATAACACAAATTCAAATTCATTAATGAATATATTGAGATAAAACTTTGCAAAAAGAGTGGATTTAAGGTATGCCATCTCAAATCTAAAAATTATCAAAATCGGACCATATCTGTTCAAGCCCCCATCAATCGAAGATGTGGACTCCAGTGTCCATGGTTGACTTTTTACCGAAATTATCGTTCCATGTATGAGATAGATGTATATTTTTATTATTGACTTCGGATAGAAGCCTTTCCTGATAATATTATGTCTTCTCTTAGCCCCCATATACCTACCAGAAAGATTTTTGAACTTTCGGGCGACTTTATACCGCATATTTCGGCCAATATGTCTCCATATAACTAATATCAGAATTATCAAACATACACTCAGAGAGCATTTTTTCCATTAGCAATATGTAGTGATGCCAAAAATAAGTAAAATCGGGTCAATACTACCTCTATCACCATATGTACATAAAATAAATTTTTTTTTGTAAGGATTTGGTGTAAACCTTGATATACACTTTATATCCTTAATATAATGACATCTTCCACATCATTGTTTGTTTTGCTAGAGGATGAAAATAGCTAGAGGCAGATTAGATATTTTGTAAGTCATTTGACTCCCATATAACTGCTTTACTTCAGCATCTTCATGGAGATTCCATAGAGACCGATGGATTTCGCCGACTATGTCGAATTTTGTAAATGTTTCGAAAATTATGTTAATTTTGTCTTTACGATATTAGTATGCGGATATGATATAAAAATGCAAGATATTTTGCTTCTAGCTGTTTTAATTTTATTTACAAACACACTGTTTATAAGTTAAAGGCAAAGGTATACATAAAATAATACATATAGATTACACATTTATCTAACGTATTTGAGATTATGGGTTTAACAACGTGCATTTAAGATGATATATAAAAATGTTGTATTTTGGCTTGTTGAAGCGCGCAAAAATTTACGGAATGACATATACTTTCCGGAATATATGAAACGGACTGTGTTAAGTTTTGTACTGGTTTATTTGCACTTATTTTTAATAGGAACATCCAATAGCAATACTAAGGAAATCCTCAAATCCGATTGTTATCGTGCCGTTTTGTTGAGTGTCTCGTTGTCTAAATGACTCAGTAAAGCGTTGAATTTGCACACACAGAACAATAAATTGATCGACAGAAACTTCCTTATGCTCTCTCGGATCACTCTTTTTAACCAAAAAGTTTATAAATTCGGGCGTGAATCTGAAGCCCATCTGCGTGAATGCTTTTTAAAAAAAAAGATATCATAAAAAAATGTTATTTTTTGTATTTTTTAATGAATGGAATTTGGATACCTTGAGTTAATTCATTTTCATCTATGTGACCGCTGCCATCCCGATCAAAGGTTTTAAATACCATTAACCACTGGTTTATGTACTCATAAAGCTTTTCGAATTCATAAATATCAATAGTACCACTAGCATCCTTATCGAACATGCCTGTTTAAAAGATAAGAAAATCAAATTTAAGTCGTGTGTGCTAATATTTGGTTTTTTGTTTGTTTATGAAACATTTGTTGAATCAATTAATTAGTCATGATCGACTGAGTCTCAACAACTTTTACTTTAATATATTTTATCTTTACAAAGTACAATATGAATATAGATATCCATTGCATACTTTGCTAATAATAAAATATTATTATTAGTAATTGAATCAGGCAAAGAGATAATTAAATAATAAAAAATAAATTAGCAAATTCGTTAAGACTTCTGAGAAATCAGAACTTCTTTAGCATCAGGCGCTGATAGATTTGCTAAAATTAAAATCATTATTGAAAATTCACAAGAATTGGACTGACTCATTTTTCTATTTGTCGGATATTCGTATTCAAATATTTACTTACTAATCATTAATTTGCAAGCATTATCTGAAAAATTTTCACCACGTCCATTTACCAATGCTGCTTTCAGTTCACTGGAATTTATTTTTCCGGAACGATCGCGATCGACCATATTGAACCATTGTTGTGCCTGTGGAGAAACTTGGGCGTTCTGTGGCGGAAAGGCACCGGGAGGAGCAGAGTAAGGATTGTAGCCACCAGGATAACCGCCCTAAAACAATGTTAAATAACTGCATAATTCCACTTTTAAATATATAAATTGTTACTTACACCGTAAGACATTATGTTAAATATAAAATAATTGTTTAATTATATAGAATTTAATTTATTTAAATTGTCAGATGAACTTTGCGAATCAATTGTTTATGCCGAAAAATTCCTACGTAGGGTTGCGTACAGATGATTAAAAATTAAATCTAAAAAAAAAATGTGGAACGTATTAGAATGTATAGGCAGCACTCCTAACAACTTTGGCCAGAGAACGTAAAATATAGAGAAGGTCCAACTACGGACCAGCGTGTGAATTGTCAAAACCAAACAAAATACGATGAGCGTGTTTCACCACAGTCGGCTCGGAAGGGGAAATTTTAACAGTGGCGCGTGAACAGAGCTGAGCATTGTATGAAAATTATGCTCAGAAGTTTGCATTGATATTACAGCCGCATGTTAGCTTATATTTGTATACGTTTATATGCAATCATATTCATAGATATGAAATTCCTTTTCTGAATATCTATGATATCATGAAAATGTATTACATTTTAGTTAAAATATATTACTTCAAAGGAATATTTGCAGTTGCTTTTTAAATATTGCTTATGTTTGATAATATGAAATGCTACTATGTTTTACTATATATATACATACATAAGTAAATAACACACTAACATAATATCTTAAAAATCTTAATATATTTAAATAGTAATATATGCCAATCACACCTTTCATGATTTAAAGCTTACATACATACATATGTATGTACTTATGTAAGTACAATTCAAATTCAAATCAAGTTATTATCATTTATCAGTAATAACATTTGCGCGCACTGCTCTATATGTACATACATACATATGTGCTTATGACATTGCTACACAAATAATGGATACACAAACCCACATTCGCAAAAACTACAAACTTGTTCTACAAAAACAACAATCGTCACAAGTCAATATGTCAGCCCAATAGGCGAAGCCCAAATTTATAGTAAATCACACAACAACAACATTTTCATTCATGAACGCAGGCGTACTTTCAACAAGCAACCTCGCTTCATTCATAAAAACAGACACCCTCTCATCTCCCCGAGCATGCGTTTGCCTACAAGCTTCTTTTCGCGACGATGGCAAAAGCTAAAAATCATAAATTGAACAAATTTCTGATATTCCCTCTGGAAGGGAAAAGTTGCAACCAAGCAAGCCCACAAAACACAGAAAAAATTGACAAAACTGGCAACAAAGCTTTTGTCGATTTAAAATATTTTAGAATTTAAATTTACAATTTTAAAATATTTTTCCGTGTCTCACAAAAATCTGCGTCAATATGTATGCATGCTCATATATAAACATACATATTTACGTTGATTTGTGGGCAAAGCTGTTAGAGCGGCAAGGGAAGCGGTGACAATCGGCGGCCGTTCGTTAATATTTTTTCGGCACAGCTCGGATTTTCTATCAACAACACAATGTTGTGACGCTTTGTCGTAGCGTCAGTCCTTCGACGCAGTGACTCTTTGACAAGAAAACAAAAAACGTAAGCTTCGGCCATTGGTTGTCCGTGGCAACGGAGATTTCGCATGAAATAATGAGTGTACATATTTACATACATACGTTGCATATAGACAAATTAACAATTATAATGGGTACTTTCATATTTGTTTACATGCAAACATAATTATACATATATAATGTATACAAATATTTGCGACCGCTTCGTCTTTTCTTATGGGGTTATGTCAAGCAAGAGGTGTAAAAATCAAACCCAGAAATCTGACTGAACTGAAGCAGTCCATTAAATAGAGAATTGAGGCAATCCCGAATTATGTGTCGCATATGCGTGGTTGAGTATGGAAGAATAATTAATTGTTTAAATAAAATAAAATTTTCTATACAATAACAGAATTGAATGTAATGCATTGACTAAAAAGAAACTTATTATGGTTTAATTTTGTAGCACGATTCGTTAGCCACCCTGTATAGGAAGAATACCTTCAAATTATATCCAAAGTCGTTTGCGCATTGTAAATATACGAATCTGTAAGCGTACATTTCTTAACATTGAAATTAGCATTATTTTTCTCAATTAACATTGAAAATGCTCACTTCTGCTATTTTTCAGTCCCCTGATGTTAATTGTGGACATTTGGTGAAACACGCTCATCATTTTCAGAACCCCTCCCAAAAGTGGTGAAACACGCTCATCGTTTTCAGTACCCTGTGAAAAGTGAAATATTTTGATAATGGCTGCACTGTGAACTTCTCTATAATCTACATTCTCTGATAAATATATCGAAAAATACATTAAATTGTTTTTCCGGTCGTCTCATCTTACGACTTTGTATTTGTTTTAATTCAAATAAAATAGCCTTGTTTTCAGTTGTATAAAATAGCATTGCTTAATAGTTGTTCACAAAATTGAAGACTTGAAAAATAAAAATCGGTTAACTCGTGTCATTGTATAGCTGGGATTGTACGATTGTTACTACTCATCACTATTTATCTTATTTGAATCAAAACTTGTAAACCACATCAATTCATAGATTGCTAAATTTGTTTGCATAAAAACTGTTTGTAAATATGGCAAATTTTGTTAATTTAGAAGTGTTTTCTAATTATCAGAAATATATTGACAATGAACAGGAAATTCGTGAGGTGAGAAAAACAAATTTTCATTGATATTTGCAACCTGTATTTTCAAGCTTTTTCTTTATTTGCAGAATATCAGAATAAAAGTGCGAGAAATCGAGCAATTCGTCAAAGAAGCTACAATCCAACTTCAGGCCATTCATTCAGATTTATCAAAGAGTATGTGTACATATGTACAGACAAGAAAGATTTATTTATGATAATATTTTCTTTATAGTTGATAGTGCATGCCAAGCAGCGCGCAAACAGATAGCATCTTGTGCCGGTGTCTACAAACAATTGTCAGAGATCATTCCCCATGGACAGTATTACAGGTAGGCAAATTAATAAATATAAATTTACAGATACTTATATATTTTCTGTAATAATATATTATAATGAAAGATACTCAGATCATTGGACATACATAACACAGCGTCTAGTGTTTTTAATTGCAATGGTTGTATATTTAGAAGCCGGTTTTCTGGTAAAACGCGAGACGGTAGCTGAAATGTTGGGCTGTAAGTATGCACGTTGTGAAATCTATTGACAATTTTATCTTTAATATATTTTCGAATAACCGCAGTGCAAGTTAGTCACACACAAGGCTTTCATCTGGATATAGAGGACTATTTAATGGGGATTCTACAAATGGCTTCGGAACTATCTCGCTTTGCCACCAATTCAGTAACCATGGGCGATTATGATCGGCCCTTGAATATTTCACATTTCATGGCGAATTTAAATTCTGGCTTTCGTTTGCTCAATCTTAAAAATGATGGTTTGCGCAAGCGTTTCGATGCCTTAAAATACGACGTGAAGAAAATCGAAGAAGTTGTTTATGATATCAGTATACGTGGTTTGCGCAATGAAACGCCACAACCCACTGCCGAAAATGCTGTCTCAAATGAAACTACCAGTGCGGAGGCGAAAAGTGATTAAAAATTCGTGCGACAATGATATAAAAAATAGTAATAATTTCGTACACGTCTCGTAGGACTTCTTTTGGTGTTAAAAGAATTGTTTGCTTTTGTTTCTTTTAATAATTTGTAATAAACTGATTTAATTAATGTTTTCCTTTATTAAAAATATTACTTGCTATAATTTATGCTAATAATTGGATTAAAATAAATAAATAATAATGATTTATATTTATATTTATGTCCGATAACATTCCTATATGCGATGAACACGATTTTTACCTCTTAAAATTATCTATTTCATTACGATTTCAGTTATTTATTTTTAGTTACTAAAGGGGGTTTCAGAGCTTCTTACATAAAAAATATCCTTTTATTGTGTTGTGAATCTTACTCTGAATGCCAAATAGATACCATACATGTATCTAACAATTTTTGTATTAAACAAATAATATTAAACACGCGAATTATCATAACATACATTTCGGCGCCACACTGAAAAAAATATTTATTAAAAACATTTTGACTGAACTGATTTCTTCATAATCTATTTATTGGTTATTGTATGATTGTATACAATAACTGATGAATAATAATGTTTTTCATTGTTTTTGTGAAACTCCATGTGTGTAAAGCCGTTGCTCACTCTTTAACCGATAAGAATGAAATGATGATGTTCGTAATCAGTGTGCTAGGTGAAGTTTAAAGACTTTTAAGATTACGAATACGAATATGCTTGCGTAAGCGAGTCGACAATGACCAGCGCAGTTAGACTGATGCGTAAATATGAAAACCTGAAAGCTATTTGGTCAAAGTACTTTAATGTGCACTGGAGTTTATCAACTATTTGACGCAGTTAATCATGCATATTTTTATTGAAATAACATGTATGCATATTTACAATAATATTAGTATTTATATATCAGCACTAAATTTCTTACATTCGAAATACCTGAAATGAATATACATTTCAGTTTCTCTAATGAAATTCAATCAATCAATTTTAAGATTCAAAAGGTTCCGTTAACTTAACTGTAACTGTGGGTGTTAGTAAATTTTTTGGCACACGAAGATTTGCCATGTAATTTCCTAATCCAAGATAGCTTAAACAATAATACTAGTATTTATTTTGCGTTTTAGATTAGCACAATGAGTGTTCCATGGAATATCATGTGCCATAAATTTCAAAATACACACCTCCAAAAAGGAAGTAAGGGCAAACAAATATAGTAAATATTTTATATGCAAGTATGTATGTTCATATACATATGTGTTGATGAGCGTGTGTGCATCGCAATATTCATGTTAACGTCTGTTCAGCATTTTTATCTACATACATACATACATAAAATTGTTTATTCTCTTGTTTGTCAGAAAAAACAATACTTGTCAGAGTTCAAAGTCCTACTGTCTTATATGCATGTATATTTGTATGTGCATTCAAATGTATATTTGCATCTGTATATGTCTATTAGCCACTTATACATCTCAGTTGCTTAGTATTCTCGCAACAAGTGCGCGAAAACCTCAAAAGTGCGATTCTCAAATTCTCAAAGAGTAAACGCGTTGGTCGCTTTTGAAAATATGCGAAAGATTGCTATTATTGTTGGTATATGTATTTCTAAACAAACCCTGCAGTAAATTAAACTGGCGCGATGTAGAGTATCTTAAAATATACTTTTTATATGTATCTAATAGACTCTTGTAATGGGCTTAATGTGTTTGAAGCGCAAAAATAATACGTTATTATTTGCTGGCCGAGTTTGTTTGTGAGAACTTTACTAAACTCAGTTAGAGTGCATACCGCTAGTTTTAAAATTTATTCTATTAACTTTTGTTAATATTTCGGTTATTAATTTTTAATATTAATTATTCCATGGTGAAAAATTCGTTTTATGGCGGAAAGACTCTATATTTTTCTCAAACAATTTTTTAAATTATTTATTATTACAAATATTAATTTTTCGTAATATTTTATATAAGAATACACGAGATTTCTAATTAATTTCGGTCAAACAACTTTTATTATTTGTCACTTTGTAAACAAAACAATAAATTCACTCACTCAGCTGGAAATATTTATTTCAATTTGCATCTAACTGCTCATGTCTGCTGGCAATAATCTATAACCGTACCTTTTTGACAGCTGCGCCAACCAGGTGTTATCGAATGCAATTTCAAACAATTTTATTACAAAACGGCCAATAAATTACGAAAATAAAATAAAGAATAGCTGACTTTACAATTCTCGTCTGGGTATTTTTAACTTGCAGTTACATACATACATACATGCACATGTATTTACGCACGTGCATTGTGGTAATATGAATTGAAGTGGGAGTTGAAATCTTTTGGCAGATGCGCAATCTCGTTTAGACAGCAGGTAATTGTAATGAGCGATTGTTACTCCGGCTGAGACAAAGTTAAAATTATGACGTTTTATAACGTTCTACAAACCTCCGAGTGAACTTCTCATAAAAAGTTCAAGGTGCTCATAGTTGACTTAAACACTGTAACAACCTTCATTTGTAGATTAATCTGAGGTGCACAGCAAAATAGAAGAAGTTTTGTGAATCTGTTTATATATAAGTGTACATAAATATATAATATATACTTTTTACAGTCGCATACATGTATAATATGTATATAATAACTTGCCAAAGCTTTTAAGTTAGTTTTACAAAAACAAGGATTTACTTTTGTTTACTTTTATCAACATTAATTTACCAAAAGTCGTGCTCTTGTAAAGGAATGTAAACATACGTGTTTGTATGTGACTTGCTTGTGTGTACCTATAAGTAAATATACGTATATGCACATGCATATGTATACTTCAGCATGCTTCACAATAGATACATATGTACTAACTCTAAAGACGAAAAAATGAGCGGTGATGTAAATGTTCATACGTTTGTAAACATGTAGAACAATATATATGTATATATATATATGTGTGTGTAACAATATTCTTATCTTCGAATAAAGTTCTCACCAACAAACTCGGCCAGCAAATAATAACGTATTATTTTTGCGCTTCAAACACATTAAGCCCATTACAAGAGTCCATTAGATACATATAAAAAGTATATTTTAAGATGCATGAAGTACACACAAACGTACTCTTACTTTAAATAAGTCTGTCTATTTTAGTGGTAAACAGGAGAATCGAATTTGCTGTATGCCAAGCAGTAAATCAGACTGGGTTAAGGCCGGTGGAAATTCATATTTATACACGTATGTATGTATGTGTGTGTAAGTGCGGTTCCATGCATATTTTATTAATATAATTTTTAAGCTTATGGCTTTGCGCCATTTTGTTTTAATTATCTGCTATTTTAATTATAATGTCTAGAAGTCGCTGCCTACACGCAGCTAGCACATACACACAAACACACACATGCACAATGTGGCATATATGCACCAGTTTGTAGCTGAATGCAAGGAGGGTGGTATAGAAGTAACTACTCATTTCTTTGGACTCAATGAATTTCTACAGCAGGTAACAATTGGCTGAGAGGGATGTGCCGAGCCCGCTCGCAAACACACAAATAACGCTTATCATATACATACATACAAGCATATATATACATATATTTCTACATCAATACTTTATACATATATATATATATATAAATATATGCTGTTTAAGATCTAGAGGCTCAATCGTTTTCGCTGGCTGTTAGTAAGCCTTTAGCAGCCAAACGATCAAGTTGGTTCTTTTGAGTGCAGACGAATTAGTTAATACAGGAAAATCAAGTATACTGAAATAAAAGAAAATACGTGGAATTTACATGCAAACATACATACGTATATGTAGATTTAGAGTTGCAGAAAAAATTGAATAAGTTAAACAAAAAACAGATAGTGAGGAGCATAAAAGAAGTAAGTGTAAACAACGGCAAATCACAAATAAACAAGATATAAAACAGCGGCGATAAACAACTAAAGCAAACGCGACCTTCTAAATATGTAATCTAGTTTATGAAAAATATAGTGTGAATGTGCCGAATCGCTGCGGTGGTTTTTCTTCGGTTTGCTACTAGACAAACAAATATATGCAACGTTAAACATACTTGACCGAGTTTTGAACCAACAACAAAGCGCTTGAAATTGCTTTAACTTGTTTTCTAAGTCACACATGTTGAATGTGCGTGTATGTGTGTGCATATATAGGTATATATATATTTACATACATATTGAGCGATAAACACCAATATTTGCGTGTGCATGTGTGCGATATTGTTTGTTGACTGTGTTGTTGCTGCGTAAAGGTGTACTTTTGAACAGTTAAGTCGTTGAAAATTATTCATATTCATATTTTAATATAGACTTAATTGCGTAATAAATATACGACAAGTCAAAATACAATCGAAATGCAAACATACAAACATGTAGCCAATTACATATGACTTTTATATGTCTACATACACACATATGAACCTACATTTGTGTAGAATACCTTTATCAGTTGAATGTTTTGATCCGATTGCCTGCGCGATGGGCTCGTTGTTTATTAAAAAAAAAAACCGGTTTATTCTGTAGTTGTAGCTGCTTTTGGGTTTTGATTTGCCTATTGCCTTTTTGATTTTGTTTATGAGATTTTTATAAGAGAGAGTTAAATAACTGCATTCAATACATGGTTTTAATAGCGTGTGTGTATCTTTGGGAGATTGCAAGTGTGCCCAGTGGGAAAATTATTAGATTATTTTTAGTTATTAACTGAAAGAAAAAATAAATTTAGTTTTCATAATTTTGATAACTAAAAAAAATATCAACCTTAATTTCGTACTTACACCGTTTCTTGGTTGTTTGTGGCGTATTTTTTGAGATTATGCTGAAAAAGTTGCTTCTAGAAACCGGCTGCGCACTGAAAATCAAACAGTTTAGACTTATGTCAACCCTTAAACGATTTATTTGCTTAATATTTAAAAGCTATAAAATAAAAATTATAAACTTACGAACTGAAAATCAATTAGTTCAAATTTGTATCGACTAAAAAAAGATTTATTAGTTTAATATTTTGAAGATATAAAATAATTTAGTACAAAAAAATAATAAACATTTTACTTAAGGTTCATTTTAAGAGGTGTCTGCAGCATATTCTCGGCTTCTCGGCTTTTTGAACACAAAACTAGCTGTTTTGGTCCACAATTGTACAAGATTTCAGTTTTTATTTTGAAATAATATTTTACTGCTTCTATGGTAAAATATGTGATCGACAAACTAATTGGGATTGCGTTTCAAACGGATTGTAATGTAGTTAATTGGTAATAATTTGTTAATTTCACTATATAGCCCTCTTGAAGTGGAGGTTATACCTTCTGCTTTGAATATAATATGTTAGGTAGCTGCTTGCTCTTATATATCTATTGAATTATTGTAGTTTCTCTCTTTTAAACCAATTGTTTGTTCTATTCTCAACTCACAAAGAACTGCCGGGTAATAAACGGCCTGCCTAGTATACATTTCATCAATTTCATAGCTAAAAAAAATAAATGAGATTTATTAAAGCAATAGAGAATACAGAAATATATTTATTTTGGTGAGAACTTAGAATGTAGCGGCAAGAGTCCAAATTCGTCCAGCTTATGACAGATTTGTCACACTTTAACGAAAGTGTAATTAATATTTATACAATATTATAAATTATTTTACCCAATTTTCCATCCGTTTTACGTCCCATGAACCATACAATTATTTTGACGTGAAGTGAACGTATTCAGAAGTTTTTCTCACGGTAGAGAGGTACGAAATGGGTATATGCAAACCTGCAAATATTGTTTTCTATTCATGAAGCTATGCATCTTCCCCTGAGAACGTGCTATTTTCACCACAGGGCATGAATGAATACGTAAACATTCACTTGCGCTCTGCAACATAGTTATATATGTATGTATGTGCATGTGTACATATACAAAACCTGTATATGTATATATGAAAATAAATAGAGAAACAAATTCTCCAAAAACGCCACCTATTAAGAGTGGTGGAGGCAAAAAACTTGAATTTGGACTTTGCACCTTTGTGAACAACAAATTAAGCGCAGTAACTGTAATAGCGTGTGTGTGTGTGTATGTGAACACATATGTATGTACGTATATGTGAGTGTATTGATTCAGTGAGGAAAAAATAAATAAATATCTTTCAACTTTATGATACAACAAACAATTGGGAAAAGTAAAGCACGCGGTTACATACATGTATATATGTATGTATGTATGTACATATTTGCTTTGATATTTTCATAACAACTACGCTTTTTCTAAGCGCAATTCTATTTATCGGTTTAATTAACGATTTGTTTTGAGTAAAATAATACAATTAATGCGGGAAATAATAATATATTTTATGGCAGAAGTTTGCGGTGTAAAATATGTATATACATACATACTTATGTATATATGTACATTCATACATGCACGTGTATATTAATATAATTTATTTATATTTGTACTATGTATAATATATATACAGGAATATACAGTTACGACTTATCAACACATTATCACTGAAAATGTTATAAGAAATTAGATTAGACATTTTCATGTGATCTCTAAATGGGTCAGAAATTTTAAATGTGTTGAAGAATTAGAATTGAGTGTCAGGAAATGAGCATCTTAAATAAAAAATAACTGTTTTAGTTACCGAAATTAATTTGTTGTCATGAAACTACGTACTATAGCATATATACATGCATATATTTCTGCAATTCTAAGCAAGTCAGCTGTTTTTGCATTATTGCACATTATTATTTAAATCGTACATTGCAAGTATAAAAAAAAATAAATTAATTAATATAAATTTTAAGGTTGAAAAACTGGAGGCGAGTTTATAGCGTTGAAAATAATGTTTTTTATGAAGTTTGATAAAAACTTTTTTTTTTTGCAATGAAAAGCTATAAATAGATTCTGCAGCTAGATACCGGATATTGCATTGACTACGTTTTTTAATACTCGTTGTTAGAAAACAACAAATAGTAGCATATATTTCAGCGCACATAAACAACTACCAGCTGTTTCCACACCACTACTGCTAAAGCAGCGAAAATGCATAATTTCGAAATAACGGTATTAAATATTCATTTATATCGGATAGAATCTGCATATATTGGTTAAATAGGAAGAAAATCGATTTCCTAACGTTTGTTTCGAAGAAAAGCGCAAAATTTATGTTAAATAATATTAGTTCCACAAAAATTAGGTGGGCGGTTTCTATGTATCATTGCTACTT